GGGCGATTTGGCATTAATATCGCCCCCCACTAACGAGGGACCATTTAGTTTAGCAGCTAAGGACATAGTTTCCTTGAGTCCTGCTTTAAAATCATGTATGCTCAAATTAGGTGGGGCATATACGCTGAATATGTTAAAGTTGTGCCTAAGGTTTTTAGTTGATATACCGATAGATTCGATTTTTGAGTTAATACTTAGGATTTTTATATTAATATTCTTTTTCACGTAAATCCCTACGCCCCCATAACCATCCTCACGAGGCTTGCAAATAAAATTATAGTTTGCTAGACTACACATGGCATTATCCACTACCCAAATTTCAGATAGAATAGCAATGTCAATATTGTTATTAATAAGAAAAAGTTCCAACAACTGTTTGTTATTTTGTGAAGTTAAGCTTTGAATATTATATTGAAGTATTTTTATAGGCTTAATCATGATGAGAGATTAAGACATTATAGATTTTGACTATAATATCCCTTAAGGATTCGAGAAAAGATCTGGTATTACCTGAGTTGTTCGGATTGTTTATTAAAAGGAAGGAGGCAATCTCCGAAGAAATTTTGATTAAACTGTTCTCAGCTGTTTCCAAGGCTGAGTTCTGATTCTTATCAGATTCTGATTCTGATTATTGGCTGAAGGTGGGAAAGAGCTAGAATCAGCCGGTTGATTGGAAAGAGGAGCCCCTTGAAGGGGAACAAATCTTTCCTCAAGAGAAATTTCGTGATCTTTTATAATTCGTTTCCAATTGGACATCGTCTCTTGCGACTTTCTTCCTTCGATCGACTTGTTTTTATAATTTTTAGCTATTTTGTTGTAGGGTAAATATTTGTGAATAGATTCAGCAGCTAGTTTAGTGTTATCCTGCAAAACCGGGGATGCAGAATTTTTAGGGGTTTCTAGTAGAGGGAATTCGGTGGTATTAAAAATCTCAGGAGTGGATGGAGCTAGTTTGTCAAAAAGAGCAGGATATCTTATTCTAACTTCCACTCTAGATAAGTTTTGCGATGTCATACATTTCTGTATGGCAAACGCTCTTTTTCTTGCCGGACATTCAAGTGAGGTAGCGGTGTGGGAGAAGTGGCAGTTAATACATTTAAGTGTCGTACATGTCTCTTCTCTTGGATGAGAAAGGGAACAATTGCGACACTTCTCTTCAGACTGCTTACAGTGTTGAGCAAAATGCCCAAATCTGAAGCACCTAAAACATTGGCTAAAAGGAACATAAGGTTCCACTTTGACCTTTGTATAAAGGAAGTCAATTTCTTCTGGAATCTGGGAGCCTTCAAAAATAATCTTAACCCTGGACGTGGGGACAAATTCTTTGTTTTCATTTTTTCTATTTACTCTAATAATTTCGTGAATAGGCACTGGGGATGAAATAAATTCTTTTAAATCGTCAGTAGTAAATTTAATTGGAATTTGAAAAATGATACCAGTTTTAAAAATAAAATGCTTAAGAATTTTAGGGTCGTAGCCCTCTTTTTTTAAATCAGAATTTAATAAATTATTAGCTGCTTTAGCTGTCTTGCACTCTGCCTTACAACGCCCGTAGCCTATTTTATTGACTTTGACTATATCTTTAAGTTTAAGCTTAAAAATAGTTGCATTTAGTTCGAGGGCATTAATAGGTTCACGATTCTCTCTAGTACTGTCACCGTTAGTGAGTTTGTCAATATAAACAAAATAAGGACCTTTATGATTGCTTTTATAGCTAAGCGGTACTTGCTGTGGTTTGGATATGATGATGTTGTCATTGTCGTTGATGTTGATGACATTTGTATCCTGCTCGTTGATCAAAGTCTGCTGTAAAACATTATCGTTGCATTCTTCTGACTCCAAGATGTCCATTTCTTCCTGAACTTTTTGAGAAATTTCTGGATCCGATGTTTTTCTTTTTTTATTATTAGCCGCATCAGAGCGCAGGGTCATTGCCCTGGCTGAGTGGGGCATTTTTGACTTAAGGGGATTTCCTCCCGTTGTAATAATATTAAATCCCTCTTTTATGAAATTTTGAAATTCCTCCGTCTACGCAGAATCTTCTTCGATGTTGCAAAGTTGCAACTTTTAAAATGGAAAGTTCTCTTTTTTTTTTTTTTTTTGACAGTTTAGGAAAAAAAAGTGCAAAGTGCTTATATGTGACCAGCCGTCAGAACGTTCCGAATGTACGTTCGAATTCATTTTACTATTTATTATAAATGCATGTTAACCCAGTGAGGACCTATAAGGTACTTTCTCTTGTATCTTTAACTTCTACTTCTTCTACTACTGTACTACTACTCTTTAAAAAAAAGTTTACCTTCCTTCAAATAATTTTTGGTTTTTAATTTAAATTTAATTAGTTTAATTTTTAGCCAAAAAGTCTACTTTCTATGCCCCAAACTAGACCAATGAGCTTTTTGCCAATTTCCAGTACTTACTGGACTGATTCATGAAATGCCTTTTCTGAAACGACTCAAAATTCCGAATTTCTCCCCTTTTCAAATTCACAGTTCAGCACGAAGTTCTCTTCCCCCCACATGCCACATGCCACATACCGTCCCATCAGTGCCAGATCAGGAGGGGCAGGCTGGGAGGCAAACCAGAGGCTGGAAATAGCCTCGGCGACACTCATTTTAAAGTGTTTAAGAGCGCCCCAAACACACACACCGAACACACAACACGACAACACCTTGTGCCCCACTCAACACTAAAAATTACATTGAAAATGGTCGTAAAAGTAACCTGGAGGCTGGGCAGGGCGAAGAAAGAATCGTCTTTTGATTTTCATTAAATTTGAATTTTATTTCAGCCAGTCAGTCTCATTCTGATTTTGTAAATAAAAAAGCCATAAAGGAGAAATGAAATTCTTTACATGCAGTTTTAGTTTGAAATCATTTAATTCCCTCATATATCAAAGAAATAAAAACTATACTATATTACAGTATATAGAATACGAAATATTAAAAGAGTGTCAAGGCTTGGAAAATTTTATGTTCCGATTAGCCGCAAGAAATGGAATTTTTTTTTTGCTTTCTTGTTGGCCAGATTTGTAAACAAGACTACACTGCATTGTTGTAAACAAGTCGTTTATATGGCCAAGATTATTGTTGGCTTGTTGTTGTTTTAGTTTTTGATTAATTCTGGCTATTAGACTTAATTTATTTATTTTTAAATGCCCTCTTCGAAAACTTTGGATCAGATAAAAGGAGTTTCCTCGTAAACTTGTTACATAACTCGATTATTTGCCCAACGGATTCGAATCTTTTTCCGCATGATTTTCTAGCGATACGCCCACGCTTTGTTGAACTTTGCCAGCATAAGCTGGCTGGGTTCCTAGATGAGCTACTACATTGTATTCATATAGAATATCTGCATTTTTGTTGACATTTTACATTGCTTTATTTTTAACAGCTCGTTAGCGGGCTGGGATTCTGAGGGGGTGGCCTGGGCGTTCGTTTGGGTGGGGTGGGGTGGTATGGGATGGTATGGGATGGGGCTGGTCACTCTGACATTGAGCGCGTGCCAAGCAAAAACGCACTGCCAAAGGCAGCAGAAGCACAGCCTCCCTCATTAGGGACAACGCTTTTGCTTAATTAACAAAAAATTAACTAAATTTAACAACTGGCATTTTCTAGATTTTCTAGTTCAGCTTTTAAACTGTCCAAGTTTCAGTGGCAATATTCAGGCAATAATTAATATTAAAAGCATAGCAAGCATGTTTAATATGTTTGATGTTCAAAATACACAAATTTTTTTGAATTATTTTAAAAATACTAGCATTTTATAGACTTAGTTATAAGTCTTTGATTAAGTGACAAAGGCTTCAAGGTAAAAACATACTTTTTTAATGAATTTAATGCTTTTAATATTCACAAAAATCACATAGCATCTTTAGACTTCTTTATAAATCACCATCATACTTTTTAAAACATAAACAAGACCATATTTTAAAATTGGAATAGAAATTGGAATTTTCCTGAATTAACTTTAAAATACTAACATTTTCTAGACTTGTTTTGTCTTATAGTTATGAATCTTAAGTTTAGTGACTAAGTCTTTAAAGTATGCTTTTTTAATGGATTTTATGCTTTTTATATTCACAAAACTCATAGGATTTTTAGAATCCTGTATGATTCAAAATATGAAACACTTTTTAAAACATAAACAGAACCATATCTTAAAATTGAAATAAAAGAAAGCCACTTTTAAAATTAATTTATTCAAAATATTTTGACATTTCCGGTCACAATTTTAATGTTGTCAAAATCCCTGCGAAAATTCTTTTTTCAAAAACAAACTATGTACAACCGCCCCTCCCCAGGCCTAACCATAATTTTCCTAGCTAATTTCGAGGCCTATTTTGCAGCCGGTGGCATTTGAGCTGTCATGAATTCCATCGAAAAATTTTAAGTAGACGCGTCAGCAGTTGCTCTTGTTTTTTTTTTCTGGCGGTAGGAAAAGCAGGAAAAACTAAGTGCCCGGCAATTGCTGCCTAAGGCAACAGCAACAATCAAAAATTTAAAACAAACAAATGGAGGGCGGAGGCGGCGGAAAAAACGGAAAAACTACGGGGCCATGGGTGCAGGGCAGGGCAGCCAAGTTAATGCCAGTTCAAGTCAGTCAAGTGCTACACTACAAAAAAATAATATTCCATTTATTTTCCAATCACTAAGCTTGTTTATTTTATTTAAATTGGGCTTATGGTCTTGTTTATAAAGGATATCCCCTTTTTCTTTCAGCAAATAATATCGAAAAAAAATGTATAGTTTTTTTTCTAGGTGTAGAAAATAATCAAACGCAGGAGGGCGGCTAAATTACGCATAAATCTTTCAATTGTGTTTGGATTTTGGGCCGAAGTTAATAGCCGTTGGGATCGAACGGAATTGGGTAGAGAATCGGTTAGTGAACTCGAACTCTCGTTCCTGCTGCACTTTTCCGGCACCGTTTTGCCCGGCTTTTGTTTATATAGATCGGGGTAGAGTATGGGATAGATAGGTGGATGTAAGATCTAGGCATACCCTCACAATGTTTGCAACATTTTGCTGGTGGCTCGTCGCTGGCGGCATCGACAATGACCGGCATGGTCCTCAAATCGGCAGAATCCGCGCTGTTTTCTTTTTTCTTTCTCGATCTCGGGAATAAAGCTGATCTCGATCTGGCTGATCTGGGTCGCTTACGCCCGATAATGATGTCGCATCTTTATATATCTCTCGATCTCACAACACACTCGCGTTCAAAAGGACACAACCACCTGTCAGTTATTCGATTTTTTTCGATAATTCTCTCGATAATTAGTTTTGTTTCTTCAATGGAATGTTGTCGGTTATTCGGCTGGCATTTTCGCGACACTCTCTTGTTTGGCACTAATTCATAACACTTAACGATCGATAAAGATCAGATCAGATACTAGATCACATCACAGATCAGATCAAATCGGATCCACTCTCGGGATCGGTACGATATCGTCTGCTACTGATGATGTTATGGTGTTAATGGTTCTGCTGTCTGTCGTCTCTGTCTCTGTCTCAGTGTATTGGACGTCACGCCAGGCTATTTCTAGTCTTTTTTGGCTTTCACATTGCGCTTTTCCGTGGAAATCGTCTGAACGTTCAAACGTGAAACCTCCGCAGAGACCACTGAGCATCGGCCGGGCCGGGGCGCACGCCGATCTGCTCCCATTTCGAAAATCTTCTTTCTGTTTTCGAAATTTCGAATACTTTTCGAATTTTCCCGAGCACTGTTAGATAATTTGGCATCTCTACGTGCCACATCCCCACATCCCACATCCCAAAAGTCTTTTTCATCATTTTTCCTCAATGAAACAATGAACTTTCACATTTCCAACACAAACAACAACACAAGCCCCCCAAAAAGTTCCTCTCTCCGGCTCTCCTAGTTTCGAAAATATGTTTTCGAAAATAGAACCGAGACTGCCTCTCGTTGGAAAACTCAACAACGATCGGCGCACGGCTCTTAATTTCGAAAAGTTTTTCTGAAAAAGTTTTGGGATCTTTCTTTCTTTCGGCCATGCACCCTACACCCAGATGAGAGTTGTCCGTCGGATGGGGCATTTGGGTTTCCAGAGGCGGTTTGGTATCGCCGGTAAGTGGGTAACTGGGTCAAGGCATTGTGACACTAAGGTCTCATCTTAGTTAGAAGGAAATTGGCAAATTGGAAACATTTATGTTAGAACCTTGCTTGTCATAATTTAGAGGCTGGCCATTAATATAATGGTTCCTTAAACAGTGCCTATAAGTATCTATATATCTCTTAGATACCTTACTACACCTCTCGATAAAAGTTCAACTCATCCCCCCAATTCATTAAAAATTCTCTAATAAATATAGCATTAGACATAAAAAAAAACATTTTTTTATTTATGGATGGTTTCCCGAAATATATTTCCCTCTTAATATTTCCAGTCCTCCGCCTACTTTTTCTTAAATTTTATTTTATTTCCCTAAGCGATGTCAAGAAGGAAAAATGTGAAAAAAAAAATAAAATTTATTATTTGGCCAGCGTCCAATAAGACGATCTTAACTGCAAAAATCCTTTACTGCAAACCCCCTGAGATACAATAAGAAAAGCATACCCCACGACCTTGAAAGGCAACGTTCTGACATAACTTTCGCCAGATCTGAGCATAATTTTTTTTTGGCCAATAAACAAATTCACAAATTGGCCAATTGGGACGCCGATTCCAAGATATAAAATATAATTTATGATTGTTTTAGAATGTCTAAACAGCAGCTAGCTGCCAAATTGATTCGATTCTGGGGGTTGTGGGCTATCTCTCACAGCCCACAGAGAACCACCTGCATGACTAATCTCCGATCAATATCTCAAGACCCCTACCCCCCTTTCCCCGTCTAGCATTTTCTCTTTCGATTGATTTGCGGCCGAGGAATGCAATCGAAGGAAAATCAAAGTAAATTGCAAATATATTTAAAATTAGATTGCCCACAAACTTAATTTGCTTAAATTTAGAAACAAATATGTTTTTTATTTGAAAATAGGAATATACTTTTGAAAAGATACAAATAAAAGCCCCCCGAAGACAGCAACTAAAAATAAGAAAATTGACTCAGCTTTGATTTAGCGACCAAGAATTCTTCCTTCTTCTCTCAGCCTCCTCTACAGAATTTTGTAGAAAATCATTTTTCAAATTTATGGCCAAATTGGGCGCAACTGTTCAACGACGACAGGGAAAACGTCAAATGCCTTTTTCCGTATCTCTCTGAGGAAAATCGAATCAGAGAAAATGGGCGGCAGATTACCGGGCAGCGTCTTCGATTGTGTCATGGCTGTGGGCGTGTTTTATGACGCCTTTACGTGGGCCCATCTAAGTCTTGGAACTATCCCCAACCTCTCTATACAGTAGAGATTCGAAAACTACAATAAAATAATGAAAATATTGATTGGAAACTACTTTGAACCGCTTTTAAGATGACTGCATGAAACATGAACATTTTTTTTACTTGTTTTGATTTAGCTTCCCTTTGTAACTCACTGTACTTGTTTGTAAATCTTATATTTCCTTCAGATTTCTTGCCTTTGTGGCAGTCTCCAATTTAGAAATTGTCATAAACAAAGCGAATCATTTTTCATGGAAAAATATTGCCATTTGCATTTGCATTTTCCATTTTCCGCACACACATTTCCATGCTGCAAGTGCAATGTCAGGGCCAAACAAATGCACCGCAAAAAAAAAGGGAATTTATTCGCGAATCACCCAAGGAGGGGGAGTGCGGGGCCGAAATTTATAGTGCACATGCTTGAAACATAAAAAAATATGTGCATTTCCAACCGAATTTAATTGTTCGCTGCCGCTCTCCGACACACTGTCAAGCACCTCGCCCAGGGTCACATCCAAATAGTTCTGGCCTATGAGTTATGAGTGGGACGACTTTTATGGCCCACTGTGCACAAAATACATCCCACCACCCACCTCCCAGCCATCTTCCCATCTATCCTTCTACCATTCACTTTCCGGCCAATCCAATCCGTTCCCCAAAACGTCTTAATGCAGCCAACAAAGAATTCGGCACTGCTTATTTATTTATTTTTTTTTTTTTTAAGATTTTCTCTGCATAAATTATAAAGCGGGTAGCATAAAAAATATATAGAAGACGATCTTACCAACACAAACGCAAATCGAGCGCGTCAGAATTTCTAGTGTGGGCGTGAAAACTTTTTTCGATGCTTTTTTCCCCTGCGGGAGGAAAAGTCAAAGGGTGGGAAGGGGGGTAGGAGCGGCGGAAAATTGAAAAACATTTTTCACCGTGCGAAAGTTCTTGCTTTTTACTTTGACGTCGTTTTTTAATGACGAAACGTCGAGAATTTAGTTGCTATTTTCTAAAAGCTATAAACAAAGATGCTATGAGGTTTTTTAAAAAAAATTTTTGGAAATATTCTATGCTATTTTATTTATTTTATTTAAATTAATTCTTAAATAATTATAGTAAAATATTTCTTTGTATTTAAATTTAAAATATAACAAAGAAATATCTATCATTTTAGTGACGAAACACCGTGACTTTTAAGCTATAAAATAAAGATAATCTAAGGTCTTAAAAAAAAGTTTAGTTCCATTATATTAATTTAAAATTTGATTTAAAATAATCCAAAAATTATAAAACTTTTCAAATAATTTTTAATTTTTCCTTTAATTTTTGAAACCACAAAAAAACATCGCCTGATTTCTAAATCTGTGATAATTTATGTGATTACTTAAATGAGCAATGTTAGATCGGACGAAATAAGAAAAAACTATGCCAAGAACATCTAATTGGTCCAAAAGAAATAACAAAAAATACGATGAAATATTAAATTTGTGCCTCCACACTGCCTGGGGAAAGTATTCCCCCCAGATTGTGGGTGGCTTCCAGCAACAGGTAGAGGCAAGAGACTGCTTTCGAGGACTGTAAGGCGACAACAAGCCACAAAAAAAAATATAGAAATAAATAAAGAAATGAATGCCTGACAACACGGAGCTAAGGCGTTGCAATAAATAAATATTCAAATCGGCTAATAATATTACAAAATACACATAAATTTTGTGTAAACAATATAATTTTCAAGAAAACAAGAGAATGTTGTTTATTTGAAGGATTTCTTAAATATAATAAAAGTATTAAAAATATCAAAACAAACTAAAGGTAACTTATGAACTAAATCGTCATTAAAGTTAGGTTTCTTATCTATCAACAGTCTTATCTACTAGGGGTGGAACTTAATATATTATCAGTTATGGATTATTTGGGTTATTATGATATTGATTATTTTCTTATAGAATATTTTATTTATTCATCATTAAGATAATTTATTATTCAGACTAAATTTTTGAAGATGAGTATATACTCATGTAAATAGACTTTATAGACAGTATCATATTTTCTCCATTTTATTGTTTACAATTTGGAGGTAATACTGTACGATGATTAAGGTTCTTTAAAGTTTTCAGTTTTCTAAAGAGGTTCCACATATGTAGCTTTCACTGTATTCAAGCACTACACAAAGGCTTATGCCAGACATGTTACTTCATATGGACGTATCACTGTTTGTAAAATGTAAAAACCAGATGATTTATCTACTCAAGCTTATCAAAGGCTTTTGTTTAGTAACTTTTCATACAAATGAATATTAAATAATACAATTTTTTTTTAATTCATTTTGGGGAGCAACTATATAAAGTCCAATTGGAAAAAGGGCGTAGCAAAGGCGAACGGAGAACACAAAACAAAATCGCCAAAACGCCGGCACAACAAAGACGCGAAGCAGACCGACAAAACGGAGCAGAAAAGAATAAGAAGAGGAAAGCTTGGCATTGCTTGTGACTTATTTTTATTATTTACCACATTACATACTAATATTATGTACACTAAATGTCAATAAAAACTAAAAGGGGCATTCTAGAGTAGGGGGGAAATCCGTGCAGAGCTCCAGGTTGCACCAGAAATCAAATTTAGAAAATCACACACGCACATTGGGACCCGGACCCACACGCACAATAGCTGGCTCACCATACTAGCTATATAAATAAACAAAAAAATAGCATAAAAAATAGCAAAATTACCTCAGCGCCCCCGACTGGTGTGTTGTTGTTGTAGAATTTTTTATTGGCGATTTTGTTATTGTTGCTGCAGCTGCTGCAGTTTGGGCACTTTCCGCGACACGTGGGCGGTTGTCAACTGCGAAATACACTTATTGCACATTTGGCCACTGAACTGGCGCCTAACAATGGCCGAAAATAGTTGTTAAGTATTATTAAGTTTTGTTTAACAAAATACGCGACGTTCTTTTACGGTGAGACTAGCCAGAGTTGTCACCCATGGCAGTGCTGCCACATTATCATAATGGGAGCTGCCACCCCGCAGAGCATGGTTTTTGCCTTGACTATGCCAGAAACAAATTTTATTTTTTGAATTTGTTTTTTTTTTATAGAAGTATTACAATACAAAGTCTAAAATTCAGGAAAATGAAAAATCTTAAGTACAGTTTTATCAAATTAGATACAAAAAATACCCAACCACGATTGTTTTGGTTTTCCGATAGGTATGAAGCTAAGACGCGAACCAATAACAACATAATTTATATTGTGTTTGTTGCTTATATGTTTATTTTATGTATTGTTTATCTCTAGATGGGTTCTTACAGATATTGTTTGGCTCTACAAAATTATTCTTCTTCTTCGCTTATCTGCGTATCATCAAAAGCGTCCACTTCATTCTCTTGATCCCCATGATCATCCTCCTCTAACTGACGGAGCACCCTCTGACGAATCTCCTCGTCCTCGACCAGCATGTTCGGGTGCAAATAGCTCTTGCTTCCGCAACCCAAAACCGGACATCTAGTGCTAATTTTTTCCTTAATAATTCTCATGACAGAGTCCCGGTCGTAGACATGACCACACTTCGTATTACGGACGGGATGAAGCATTACCTCCTTCGTCCATGGGTCGTATATGGAGAATACATCATCGCTGTTACCCTGGATCTGGATGTCGTCGTCTTCGTCATCTCCATTCTTTGGCAGATCCCTACTACTCCCGCTGGACGTTTGTAGATTATTGAGTTTGGCCGCCGCCTCGATTTCATGCTTAATGTTCTTGAACTCGGTCGTGTTCCTAACATTTGACCTTTTATTCATCACGGCCTCTTGGTGATTTTGCCAGCCGCTCTTCCATTCCTCGTAGGAGGGGGGATTCTGTTTATCCTGTTCTAGATACGCGCACAAGTCCTTGTGTTCGATCTTCATCTCGATTAAGGATGCTGCGAATTCCACTCGTTTTCGGCTGCTAGTTTCAAGCCTTTTTTGGATCCGATCCCTGTATTCACTAGGAGCTCCCTCGGCCAGCTCCTTAAAGAATTTTGTGGTGTCAACAAAACCAGCAAGAACGCTATCTATCTCTTTGTTAAAATCCATATTAAATGGAACTTAATATCCTCGTAGAAATTAGTTCAAACCAAAAGTTAGTGCCAAAAGTTGAAACCAATAATGGATATGTATAAAATTATATCGATATATTGATATCGATATAATGATATGTTGTCAACCCTATAAGCAACCCTGTACAGACGCCGGACACTTGGAAAAAAAGAGAAAAAAAGAGTAGAAGCCTTCTCGGAAAAATCGCCCAGGAAACATTAAAAGTCCACCAAACGCAGTTCCGCAGGTACGTGAAAAATATTAAGTGCGGCTCAGAGCGAATTTCCTTATAACCGAAAGGACTCTTACATCCCACAGAGCTGAAAAAAACGTGTCGCGCCGCAAGTCGGAAGAAGGTACATACAAGTTAGGAACATGTCGGACATCTCCAGCGAGGACCTGCGCCGCGAAATCCAAGCGGTGCTGAAGGACGCCGACTTGTCCACTATTTCCGCTAAGCGAGTTCGCGAGCAGGTGGAGGGCAAGCTCAACTGCTCCCTGCTGAACCGAAAGAAGGAGTTCGACAAGATCGTTATGGAGGTGATCAATGAGCAGCAGGATGAGGAGGATGACGAGGACGATGACGATGGCAAGGACCCTGATGCCGATCCCGATGATGAGAGCGAGCAGAGCGAGGAGGAAGATCCCAGCAGCAGTGAGGAAGAGTCCCAGAAGAAGAAGAAGCCGGGACCCAAGAAGCGACCTCAGCCCACCAAGCACAAGGCGCCGAAGAAGAAGCGTAAGAGCTTGAATGCCGACGACTCCGGTACCGAAAGTGATGCCGGATCCGATTCCGACTACGAAGTGGTGAAGAAGCCGGCCGCCAAGAAGAAGGCCAAGGCCTCTGGCGGTGCTGGCAGTGGTAGCGGCAGGAAGAGCACTGGTTTCACACGTGCCTACAACCTGTCACCGGAGTTGAGCGCCTTGATGGGCGCCCAGTCACTGCCGCGTCACGAGGTGGTCAAGAAGGTGTGGGCCATCATTAAGGAGCGCGATCTGTATGATCCGAAGAACAAGCAGTTCGCCATCTGCGACGATGAACTCATGAAGGTGATGAAGATCCGCCGCTTCCGCACCTTCGGCATGCTGAAGCACCTCAAGCCGCATTTCCTCGACTAAATCCCGCCGATCCCCTCCAGATGCAAATAGGCCTCACATACATACACAACATACATCGCTTACAGCTTGAGCTTAGTTTCCACTCTTCCTCACTCTCGCTCTCCGGCAAACTTTCGGCTCCGCATGATTTGTTTGTTCCAATTTTTTATTAAGATTTAGTTACGCGATGTAGACTTCCGCGTCCTGACTTCTTCCGGGAGCACGGGATATATATGTGTGTAGCATTAAACTAATTAAGTCTACGGCATTTTAAGTAAAAAGTATGAAAGGACGACACTGAAAGGAAAACAAATTAAGAATGAATATAATTGTAATACATAAAAAAAAAACGAATGTATAATTTTTTGTAACGAACTCGAGTAGTTTACATTTTATATAAACTTATGGAAAAAACATAACAAGTTTAAGGTAACAAAAAAATGAGAAATAGACGAGTGATGCATCTGAAATATAATTGGAGTTTGTGTGTTTTTTATGGGAAAGGATTTGTTGCTGAAATTTTTTTGTATATTTTTTATTGTTTTTGCGTTTTTCACAAATTTCTTACAAACATTTTTTTACTTTTTCTCTAATATACAGATTAGGTGTATATGCAGTGTATATATATATAATTCTCGATCTGATATATATGCCAGCGTGTATATAATTGAATAAATGGAATTACTTTGCACTGAATTTCTATCAACATTCTCAAGTTTGGGGAGAGGGAGGAACGGAAAACATTCAACAAATTAAGTACATAAACAATACGATAGTTTAAATCGATCATGTTGCTACAACAAAGGGGTTAGCACATTGCAGAAAACCTTTATAATACGGTCTATTCGTAATAATGAAACCTTTATAGCTTGACATTTTCAGAGAAACTAATGAGGAAGTGATATAGATTCTAAATTTTAGAAATTTTAAATAAATGATGGCCTTAAAAACATGTCACATAATTGAGTTCTGAATCTTAACATCATTGTTGCAGCAACTGAGGGATTATTTCTAAAATAAATTCAATCAATCGGCAATAAAACATTTCAAAATTGTTAAATTCTTAAAAGGGGCAAGATTAGTTGAGGGTTAAGCGGAGGATCAAGGGGGTCTAGAGAGTCTGAGAGGGGGTTAAGTAAGAATACTCCTGCGGCTAAAGCAAGTGCTAAATACTAAAAGTTAAATGCTAACAAAAAAAGCAACTAAGAATTCCGCTCGAGCTAACTAATAGTAACTTTGTGACCTCCATTTCCTCTTTTTTGTGGTTCGTCGTCTGTCAACAATTGATTTTGTGTGTGTTTTTTCTTTCTAAATAGTTTTTCTTCTTCGCAAAGACAATACTTTCGTTGGCGTTGTTGTTGTTGTTGTTATCGTGGTGTTATTGTCCGCATTTCCGTGCGCAAGTGCATCCTAGCCTAGCCTAGTAGCGATAGTAGTTGGGCTTGAAAGGACCGGCCTTGTTGAGGCCCATGTACTTGGCCTGTTCGTCGCTCAGCTCCGTCAGATGGGCATCGAACGTGGGCAGATGCAGGCTGGCCACATACTCGTCCATCTTCTTGGGCAGCAAATAAACGTCGGACTTGTATCGGCCGGGCGGAGCATTGAAGAGCTCGATCAGCGCCAGAGCCTGGGTGGCCGATGTAATGGACACCGCAAAGGAGGGGATGCTGGAGCAGCTGAGATTGACGAGCCTGCCCTCGGCCAGTAGGATGATATACTTGCCCTCCGGCCAAATGATGTGGTCCACTTGGGAGCGCACCTTCTCCCAGGTCAGGTCCGGGGTGCGCAGGCCGTTCACATCGATCTCGGTGTTGGAGTGGCCCATGTTGCAGACGATGCAGCCGCTCTTCATCTTGTCCATGTGCTCGCGCACCACCACGTTCTTGTTGCCCGTCGCCGTCACCACAATGTCCACGTTGCGAATCACCTCGTTCAGCTTGACGACTCGGAAGCCATCCATGCTGGCCTGCAGAGCGCAGATCGGATCGATCTCCGTTATGTAGACGATGCAGCCCTGCAGAATATATCATTAAAGGATACGTAAAAAGATGAGTTATTCCGTTAGTTACCTGCCCTTTCAAGGCCTGGGCACAGCCCTTGCCCACGTCGCCGTACCCGCAGACGACTACCTGCTTGCCGCCGAACATGACATCCGTGGAACGCTTCAGACTGTCCAGAATGGACTCCTTGCAGCTGTACAGATTGTCAAACTTGGTCTTCGTCACCGAGTCGTTGACATTCATCGCCGGCACCGTCAGTTTGCCGGCCTTGGACAGCTGATAGAGGCGATGCACTCCAGTGACACTCTCCTCCACAATGCCCTTGACCAGCTTGAACATGGTCGGGTACTTTTTCAGCATCAAGTGCGTGGCATCGCCGCCATCGTCCAGGATCATGTTGGGCTGCCAGTTCTCCGCATTCACACACCGATCGATGCACCACCAGAAGTCCTCCTCCGTCTCCCCGCGCCAAGCAAAGATCGGGATGTTAGACTCTGCCAAGGCGGCAGCAACTTCATTCTAAAATGGGAAATATTATTGTTCACATGAAGGTATATCCATCACCTTAGTAATTAACAAAAGTAATTAACTAAAAAATAGTTAGTCATCCTCTTAAGTTGAATAGTCATCGATTTTTAGGGTTTATGCAGTTTTAAAATAAATATGACCTGATGTATGCATATTTATTTTAGAATATTTATCGTCAAGGAAAGCGAGGAACCCTAATGCTAAGTAAACATATTTATAATATGGGTCTTAAACGTGTGTATATCGGGCTGATAACAAATCGAACTGATTGAGATAAAGCACTTCCCAAGTTCTAGTATAAAACTACAATAAAATTATTATATTTTTAAATTCAAAACTCAAAATATCATTAAAGAATTGCGTAAAAAAGATCAATACTCCCGTAGGTATGTGATAGATGGGTCCCCTAAGGCGATGTAAACATCGGGTAATATCTAGAGCTTATATCGGCATTGATACGAGAATCGCGCTGCACCCTCGCTAAGCACGGGCACTTGGCACTTGGGCTGATAAGCTGGTGGGCAGGTGATTCAGCGTGACAGGCCGTCAGGGCCGCAAGCGATAAAAACTGGCAGCGGGACAGGAAGGGGAGTGCCATGCCAGTTCTATTAGAGATGCCATAAACATTTTAGAGTCTACAGACGCTTGATAATTGCATTGGACATGCCAGAGTAGAATCGATGCTGCGACTCCACCACCACCACCATAGAAGACGATGTGGTGCTCCGGCGATGGCGACCCAATTCAGAGCACATCAATTACTCAGCGATTGCCAAACACTTGAGCCGCGCTGAGGGCGCTTAATTGATTAACATGGCTTGATTGATCATTTGTTTGCGCCGGGCGACGTGACGGCAATTGTCTCCAAGCGGCTGCCCAGATCAAGTGACCGAAAATTCAAATAAAAATCTACAAACACCCAGACTTCCGAACAGAAATGCAAAAGTATGACATACAATTGAATCAATTCTCATATTCTGTCTGTCTGGGGGTTATATGGCGTTTCTAACTACTTTTGAAACTTAAAGTTTATGACCAAGCACGTGGGGATTCTAAAAAAATACTTAGTTCGTGCTTTGAATATTTACCTTAAAATAATATAAATATTAATAAAATAATCAATATTTAAAAAACACCCACCTGCGTGGAGTAGATGTTGCAGGCAGCCCAGCGTACACTAGCGCCCAGTTCCACCAGCGTCTCAATGAGCACCGCCGTCTGGGCATTGATGTGCGTGCAGCCCACAATCTTGGCATCCTTCAGAGGCTTGTCCTCCGCCGCCCGCTTCCTCAGCGCCATAATTCCAGGCATCTCCTGCTCGGCAATCTCAATCTCCCTCCTGCCAAACGCATGCTGGGCAGCAATGTTGCGCACACAAAAGTCCGAGCTGCCGCGCGAGTTCTTCTGGACCTTTTCGCGTGGCGGTACATCATCGCCGTCCTCACTGCTGCCCGTGTAGCTGGCCGAGCTGAAGGAGTCCGTCGAGGAGGCGCTGAGCGATCGGCTGCGATAGCGACTGGTCTTCTTCAGTGCCGATGACTGCTTGGTGGCCGGCGGGGGCACCACAACGCTGGCATCCTGCGGCGCTGGTCCGGCCTGCTGCTGCTTGTCGCCACCTCCGAATCCGGGGTCCACTACCACAGTGTCGGCTAGGTTGTTCATAATGGGTAGGAGGCTGACTTTTCCTCCTGCTGCCTCTCCTTCGCGCTTTCCAGCCCAAATCCTCCCCTGCTCTTCGCCTGTTTTTTGCTCTGCTGCAGCGCTGCCTCCTCCTCTGCTCGGTTATGTAAACTAGCGCACGCTCGCAGGACTATCGGAAGGCTCTAGACTAGAGATTCCAGATATAAATACGGCCCCGAATCACGTGATGTTCCAACGATGCGACGACCACAAGTAGCCGCTTAATTGTTTTTAAGTTTGCGTCTCCTTTGTTTCACCTCTCCAGTATTGTTGTTGTTGTTATGGTTGGGTACTTCTGCTTCAGCTGCTTCCTCTTCAGCGGCGCGCCACGCAGTTTCCGACGGAGATTGGGGCTTTGGGGGAACAGTTGTCGGTAGATGACAGAGTCGTCTGTGAAGTGACCAAAGCGGGGATCGTTTCGCGATCGTTTAAATTTGTTTTTTATAATTCGGAGAAAGAGAACTAAACCAAAAACCGAGGAAGTGTGCCCAGACTTGGCAATGGTGAAATGCCACTCTTGGGGGGCTCTGCAGTTGGAACTCCTTGTGCTTTTAGCGGGATGTTCCGTTTTCCCTTTTTCTTGGAGATTTTAAATCACAGAAATAGTTTTATCTTTTGAGTAAAATTATAAATTAATTTACAAAACTATAATATTAAATATTTTTCCATTTTATAGTCCAATTATTCGAAATTTATTAAAATAATAGTTAACATATACATATATGACACCCCATTACATCTCTTCCTGGAGGTAACCGCACAACTCGTAGTCATCCGCCGTGGTGACCAAGCGGGCCTCCGAGAGCAGACCCTCCTTGTACTTCTCCCTCTTGTCCACCACACGGGAAAGCTCCTCCACCACAAGTGGTCCCTTTTTGGCGTGCTTGTGGATGAAGTCTGAGACCAGGTGCTTGTCCACCACAGACATCTCTAGACTCCAGTTCCAGGCCAACAGAGCAAGTGGTCTCTCAGGCCTGAGACTTAAAGATGGAGAGATAAGATGCCGATACAGGCAGCCTGCAACGATGTGCTGCAGTTGTTCCACTTGACCAGGAAAAGCACAGGGATGGTAGAGCATCACAATGGCACCTTCAGCCAGGTTACGAAGATACCGTTGGGGCGGTAAGTAGGTGTAGGATCCATACTCCGCTGGCAACGGACGATATGCACCACTAAGAACAGGGAGGAATACTATAATTTAAAGAGAAACTATATAGATAATCAAAACAAACTTGGTGGCCGGAAGGTGGGTGTAGTCGATGGACTCGTTGAGGCACTTGGACGGAGGAACGTAGGCGCTGGGCACAAAGTGTTCTGTCAGAATGGCCTCCCTAGTGAGGTTTGGCTCAAACAACCGGCGATTGCTACTGATACACAAATAGTTCAGGCTGTCTCGGATGTCGTTTGGATCGAAATCCACTGCCAAGTTGCTCTGTAAACAATATTTTTAATTGAAAACTTGTGTGACTAATTCGAATTCCACTTAACCCACTTTGCCATCGTCACAGGGTAGGTTATCCTTTGGATGCGATTTGTGTGGCTCATTGGGTTCTTGGGGAAACCACTTTCCCTGCCATTTGTCTTTAGAAGCCTCTGTGGTCGTTGCCTCCGTGGTACTTGATTCCATCACCTCCGTCCTCTGCTCCGGCGTCATCTTTATAATGTGGGGTTCCCCGGGTGAGTACGGAAACCACTTGCCCTTCCAGTCATCTTTGAATGACGGAGTAGTCGATTCACCTGTTATCTGCTGCACACGTTGCACATTTTTCGGAATGTGCGGCTCTCCGGGAGCGTAGGGAAACCACTTCCCTTGCCACTCGTCCAAACCAAACGTGGGCTCCAGAAGATTGGCATGGGATTTCTTGATTGATTTCGCGTCATTGATGGCGAAACAAAGGCACAGGACGGACAAAATATGTAAAAGAACCATAATAATATTAACACAGGCAACAAAAGAAGAAAAACAAAGAAAACAAAATAATAATTAAGAACTTCTGGTGGAAACAGCTGTGGTCCAAGCTTCGTTTTACAGCACTGATTTGAGTCAGACTTTCTACAGGGTAACAAGTGGGGATATTGGTTTAATTTTACGTCAATTATAAGCAAGAAATGGTATTAAAGAAGTTATAAAGGTGGATACTACATTATTTTTAATAATATGGCTTAACTATATTCAAATATTAGCCAAATCATAAAGAAAATATTCAAATATTTATAAGCCACCTTCACATTTAAGGGGATTTTCAAGCCATTGGCTGCCTGGTCCCACTATTGCACCAACAACAAGAGGAAGAAGAGGAAGTACACTGCCCATGGTGGTCGCTCTCTTCTACGCTTTAATTTGTTATTTTCCTAAAATAATGCACATATATATCCGACCGGATACCCCCGCCACCTCCTCTAGCCTCAAAATGTAAGTCTAAAACGCATTACAACCGCTTATCAATCGAATTTAGGCGAGTGACTTCTAACCATTACTTCCTTGTCTTTCCAGAAAACAATAACAAAGGTCTGTTGCTTGTTGTTGTTGCTGCTGCTGCTGCTGCTGGCCTGGAGAAAAATTAAAACGCACAAAGCGTAAAATAGAGAAAATCTAACAAAAAACCACCATGTCGTGGTTTAATCCGTGGGACGGGCTGAAGACCAAAATGTGTCGCTACCTGCTGCAGCGATACTTGGGCCAGTTCTTTGAGAATAATCTGAACCTAGAGCAGCTAAAGGTGGACCTGTACAATGGCAAGGCCCTGGTGGAGGACATTTACCTCAAGGTCGACGCCTTCAACGATCTGTTCGAGGACCAGGGCTGGGCCTTCGAAGTGGTATCAGGCCACATAGGCTGCCTTACAGTCGTGGTCCCCTGGAACGCACTGATGACGAACGACAGCAGCCTGGAGATATCAAACCTGACCATAACCCTGCGCCCAGTTACACGTTTTCAGAGTGGCACCACCATGCTGGAGTCCATGTGGTCATCAGTCAGTAGCTCGATGCAAATGGCCGAGGAATGCATGAAGCAGCAGGACGATGACGTGCCCTTCCTCAACCACAACAATGCCTTGATTGGCTTGGAAAAGTTTGCAGAGACTATTGATAATGTCCTGAACAGGATACGCGCCAAGCTGACCAACACAACGCTGAACATAGAGTACCTGCTGCCCAGATCCGATCGCAAGCTGGTCCTCTCCTTCAAGGCCAACCATGTGGACTATGTGAACAAAACGGGCTACGAAATGCCAACTTCGATTTCCGTGGACCCCGAAGCCGAGGAGGATCCCAATAACACCTTCAACGCCCTGCCCATGATTGCTAAGCACAATCTTGTGATCGAAGGCCTGAGCCTGCACACCTCTGAGGCGCTGGATGCTATGGGCCACCGGTACGAGCCCACGCAATATGAGCAGCTGTGCAAAATAGTGGAGTTGAAGGGTGCCCAGAACATCCAGATCAATGTCAAGCAGACGGAGAACATTGTAGGTCCCAAGGTCAGTCTGGAACTGAGTCTGGACGATATCTACTTCATGCTAACCCCCCGCCAAATACACCTTCTTGTCGAGCTCTCCAAGGGCTTCAATACTGGCGACGGTGGACAGCAGGAGAGGCCCAAGAAGCCGAGTCGAAGCTTAAAGTCCCATTCGGGCAGCGAGTTCCAGTCCCAGCAACAGCAGCCCACAAGGATGACTGGAATCCTGGGTCAGAATGCCGACTGGTCGACTGGCCTGAATGAGCCAGAGCCCTCGGAATACTCCGGCTATGGCAACGCCCCCCGGAGCCTGTATTCCCGCAGTCGAAAGATGAGCGAGTCCACCAACAGCATGGTGACCTCCTGCACTAATACGCTCCAACAGGAGCTGGGCTACACGGAGAAGTCCGGCGAGATACTCAAGTTCAAGGTACAGATCTCCAAGCTGTACGGCGTGGCGTTGCACAATGACATCCTCATCCAGAATACCGCGAATATCGACAGCTGGAGCACTGTCTTCGATCACGCCAGCTACGTGCGCTACTCTGAAACGTCCAGTGGCTTCTTCATGGGCACCCTGCTGGATAACGAACTGCCGCTAGCGGATCAGAAGTACCTGTTGCTGAGAGCGGCTCCCATTCTGGTGAGCGGAAGCCAGCAGCGCTTCTTCCAGGAGCTCACATCGCGGACTACGCTCTCGGCCACTGCTGTGGACTTCTGTGAAGTCCTCGACGGCGTAAAGGAGTACCTGCTGCAATTCGATCGCCAAAGAAACTGCCCGGATGGCTACCACATCCGACCGGAGATCGTGCTCACCCAGAGCTCCATCTCGATGTTCAAACAGAACCACAATCGTTGCACAAACAAAATCGAGTGCATCCTGGACGAGTGCACTGCCGAGCTAGATGTCTCCATTTACGATCGACTGAGTGCACTTTTTGGCGGCTCTCCCTTCGCCAGGGACACCAATCAGCCGGACACCTATCCCGAGGATCCCAGCCAAACGGAACTGAGTGTCAAGTGTGAAAATTTGCGGCTTCATTTACGGTTTCCGGTGATAGATGGACGAGAAGCGAACGATCCGCAGAAGATTCCTTGGTGGTGCAAGAATGTGCGACGAGATTTCTTGGCCCTGGAATTCCGTGGCCTGGTGGTCAGCTCGAGATCTCAGATTAGCATCGTGGCGGACGAACTGGATGTTTTTTACTGTGATGCGGACAAGCAGAGCGCTGCGCATCTGCTGAAGTGCCAGCAGACCCAAAAGAAGATCCAAATCGATGTGCTCCAGCTAAAGGATGCCAACCACGGGCAAGGCGATGGCCAGCGAAAGCCACTCAGGAAGTCGCCCTTCAGTTCCAAATGTACCTTCGGCTACACCTCCCATGTGGAGGGCCTTGACGGTGGCGTGGAGAAAACCGATGCCTTCTTGCCTGGCGAAACGGAGGAGATCAACGAGTTCTGCGACAGCTGCACCCAATCCTCCGCACTGAAGATCTTCGCCTTTGTGCCGCAGGTCAAGGTGGTGCTGGAGTCCAAGAGCATGTATGAGCTGATCTACAATCGCTTGAATTGCGATCTCTTCATGTGGGAGCCGCGGTCGCCGCACTACAATTGTGAGCCATTTTCGCGCAAGGATTCCAGCTCGGAGTCCCAGCCGGAGGAGGAGGACGAGGACCAGTTCCGCCGCAATCTGCTGCTGAGCACCAGTACCATGGAAAGCAGCATATACTTTTCCATGGCAGAGCCGGCCACGCCTGCTCCGGCACCTGCTCCCACTCCAAAGGTGAGCAGCGATGCCTTCTCCTTCGAGCTGTTCGTGGAGCAAGGTTCGCTGATCCTGTTCTCCCACCTCCTGGACCCGGAGAGCAATCAACGCGGCAAGGAGTGTGGCAAGTTCCAGGTGAACGTGAAGGAGCTGCGACTGTTCACGGTGAATGGTTTGGACAACGATCAGAACCGGAGCTTCTTTTGCATTCAGTTGGGCGAAATAGAAGCCCTACACTGCGGGAACACTCTCCAGGACTTGGCTCTGGCCTGGAGCGATCTGCCGGACGATAACTTGCTGCTCACGATCCACAATTTCCCGAGGGTGGAGGGCAGGAAGCGATCGGAAGTTCTTTCCCTGGTGGCGGAGATCAAAAAGCAGCCGGAGCAGCGCATCAAGCGGATGAAGATGTCCTTCGGCATCAGTGGCGCCATTCTGCGGCATCATTCCTGCCCCTCGGAGCACAGCTGGTTGAACCAATTGATGGACTTCATTGACGTGGCGGACTACCCCATCGAGGAGTACGAGCCATTCGCCCTGGTCTCTGAGCTGCAGCTGCACGTGTGGAACGCCGGCATCGACTATCGTCCCAAGTTTTTCCCACAGCGTGCCTTCCTGGACCTCGGATACTGCACGCTGAGCAGCAACATCATCTCCTCGATGAGCGGCTGCACCCTCCGTGTGCTCGCCGAGGACTGCATTCTGCAGCTGGGCGCGGTGAACGACGCCTCCACGGAGTGCCTTATACCGGTCCTGAATCTGGGCCTGCTGAACATATCCTTCCGCCTGAACGAGGAGGACAAGGGGCAGCCGCGCGTGGACCTGCGCTTCTCCATTCACGATATGCACCTGAAGACCTGCTACGACTCGGGAGCGGCGCTGGCTCAGCTGATAGGCTACGTGGCCAATGATCGGGATCTGACGGGTCTCGAGGAGGCCCAAACGAATGAGGAAAGCAAGCTGTCGGAACCCAAGCAGAACGAGGACCATGAGGTCAGCGATCTCACCCAGAACCATGTCAACAAGCTCATGGCCGAGGCCGTCAAGGATGTGGATTGTAGTTCTCTCAATCCCCGACTGGGTAATCCTCTGGGAGGCCGCGAGGAGGGCATCGAGATCTTCTACTTTCCGGACGAGCCGAAGGAGAAGAAGAAGTCCACACCGGCCAAGATCCAGACCACATCGCTCATGGCGGAGAGCCCCTCGGTCATCGGCGACATTCTGGACTTTGAATCAAATGTGATCATGAAATCCTACTACCAGCAGAGCCAAATGGAGCACGACATCTCGCTGGGAACGCAGGTGCAGCAGGAGTTGGGCTCGCTGGACATGGCCAACGCATCGCTGGAAGAGCGCGGCTTCGATGTCATCCACGATGAGGAGATCTCCCGCATGGACAAGTTCGGCATCAAGCAGATCTTCATATCCGAGGACCCCCTCCAGATCGTGGACAACCACTTTTGTTTGCCCCACGAGAAGGTGGACTTGCTGCGACCTCCTGCCAATTTTCCGGTGGCCGAGAGCAGCTACACCTTGTGCGAGATGACCTTCACCTGGCACTTGTACGGCGGCCGGGACTTCCCCGAGCAGGCTCCGCAGAGGTCGCCGGCGCCCAGTGGCTCCGGCATGTCGGAAACGTACAAGTACGGGGTGTCCCAAGCCCAGGAGCAGGAAAAGCAGGAGCGGAAGGGTGCCAGGAAGGGTCTGCCCAAGGAGCCAAAGGGCTCCAAGCGCAATCTGGAAGTGCTGGTGGAGATGCAGCTCTCAAAGATCCGATTCTCGTACGAGACTTATCCTTCCACCTCCATGTACTCTTCGCGGCAGGTGCTCCTCATTTCGGAGATAGAGATCCGGGACAGACTACGCTCCTCGGACATCAACAAGTTCCTGTACCATCCGACGGGCAACAACCTGTCCCACAAGCCGGATGAGAACATGGTGATAGTGAAGGCTCTGAATGTGCGCCCCAATCCGCAGAAGAGCTCTGACGAGGAGTGCTCCCTAAGGGTCTCCATTCTGCCCATCAAACTGAACATTGACCAGGACACTCTGCTCTTCCTGGAGGATTTCTTTTCGGGTATCTTCAAGAACTCGGCCGGTGCTGGAGGCGGTGCCTCCAAAGCGGAGGGCAGCAGCTCATCCGCTAGTGATATGCCTGTGATGTCGGTAAGCAAATTACCGGAAGACTTCGAAGATGACTTGCCGGATTCGGAGGTCAAGGAGATGGTGGAGAGGAATCTGAATGTGCTGATCGAAGAGCACAGCCTGGAAGCTGAGCCGGAACTGGAGGAGGAATCTGGAAGCGGAGCGGAGGCCCCGCCAACCTTCTTCCGCGAGGTGATCTTCAGCCCGGCCCTGCCCATTTGCTTCGATTACCATGGACGCCGGATCGAACTGTCGCGCGGTCCGGTCACCGGCTTGATCATGGGACTGGCCCAGCTTCAGGGTTCCGGGATCTGTCTGCGGGAAATCGTGAACCGCCGCGGCATCCTCGGATGGGGCAAGCTGTGCGAGTTTCTGGCCAAGGAGTGGCTGAAGGACATCAAGCGCAACCAGTTGCCGAATATACTTAGTGGCATTGGACCAACCAATGCTGTGCTCCAGCTCTTCCAGGGCGTCTACGATCTTTTCCGGCTGCCCATCGAGCAGTACAACAAGGACGGACGCATCATCCGGGGATTCCAGCTTGGCGCCCAGAGCTTCACCGCCCGCACTGCCTTGGCTGCCCTGGAGATCACCTCCCGGATTATACACCTCTTGCAGTTTACGGCGGAGACCACTTTCGACATGCTTTCCGCCGGTCCTTCGCTGAAGAAACGGAAGGCCGGCCGGCAGGGAAAGAGACGCCGACAGGGAAGGCCCAAGGACCTGCGTGAGGGAGTCGCCAATGCCTACACCATAGTCCGGGAAGGAATCAACGAATCGGCCAACACCCTCATAGAAGCTGCCATAACCGAACACGACCAGAAGGGATACAGCGGCGCCGTGGGTGCGGTGGTGCGTCAGATCCCCCAGCTGGTGGTCTGTCCGGCGGTGCTGGCTACCCAGGCCACCACTAACATCCTGGGCGGGGCCAAGAGCTCCCTGGTTCCGGAGGCCAAGCTGGAAGCGCGGGACAAATGGAAGCAGGAGATCCATTGAGGGAATTAGGCTAAGTAGCTTTAGTTTCGGGGTTAGTTAACCAACGTAATCTAACAAACGTTTTTTATCGTTTTACTAAACTAAAAATAAATACTAATACTGTACATACACGAAGTACAAGCACAAGGCGGGACTACGGATCCTGAAAGATGATTCCGGAATGGGTGAGATTGAACTTATTCTGTTTTAGCCATACTACAGTTCATCAAAGTTATATTTTTTTATTATTTTACCTAAATAAAAGTGAATATGAAAGTAAATGTGTTTTTAAATGTTTTAGGATCTGCCCTTTTTTAGATTACTTCCACGGTGCCCTGCATCGTTTTATTCGATTCTTCAGAGAGATACCTTAAAAAATTGAGAAACGCAAAAATTTCTAGGGGTACCCCTGTAAAAAATTCGAAAAATTTCAAAACGGTATTTAGGCAATGTTTGAAATGAGGAAAGTTGCTTCTGGGTTTGCTGATTACAAAATGGTACAAAATTACAAATTTTACCTAAATAAAAGTGAATATGAAAGTAAATGTGTTTTTAAATGTTTTAGGATCTGCCCTTTTTTAGATTACTTCCACGGTGCCCTGCATCGTTTTATTCGATTCTTCAGAGAGATACCTTAAAAAATTGAGAAACGCAAAAATTTCTAGGGGTACCCCTGTAAAAAATTCGAAAAATTTCAAAACGGTATTTAGGCAATGTTTGAAATGAGGAAAGTTGCTTCTGGGTTTGCTGATTACAAAATGGTACTTTATTTCCTGATCGGATACAAATTGTCAAAGCTATGGCCATCGGAAGGAGCAAAAGTGGGAAAATTGGGAAAACCCAAAATTTTCTAGGGGTACCCCTGAAAAAAATTCGAAAAATTTCAAAACGGTATTTAGGCAATGTTTGAAATGAGGAAAGTTGCTTCTGGGTTTGCTGATTACAAAATGGTACTTTATTTCCTGATCGGATACAAATTGTCAAAGCTATGGCCATCGGAAGGATCAAAAGTGGAAAAATTGGGAAAACGCGAAATTTTCTAGGGGTACCCCTGTAAAAAATTCGAAAAATTTCAAAACGGTATTTAGGCAATGTTTGAAATGAGGAAAGTTGCTTCTGGGTTTGCTGATTACAAAATGGTACTTTATTTCCTGATCGGATACAAATTGTCAAAGCTATGGCCATCGGAAGGAGCAAAAGTGGGAAAATTGGAAACACCCAAAATTTGCTAGGGGTACCCCTGTAAAAAATTCGAAAAATTTCAAAACGGTATTTAGGCAATGTTTGAAATGAGGAAAGTTGCTTCTGGGTTTGCTGATTACAAAATGGTACTTTATTTCCTGATCGGATACAAATTGTCAAAGCTATGGCCATCGGAAGGAGCAAAAGTGGGAAAATTGGGAAAACCCAAAATTTTCTAGGGGTACCCCTGAAAAAAATTCGAAAAATTTCAAAACGGTATTTAGGCAATGTTTGAAATGAGGAAAGTTGCTTCTGGGTTTGCTGATTACAAAATGGTACTTTATTTCCTGATCGGATACAAATTGACAAAGCCATGACCATCGGAAGGAGCAAAAGTGGGAAAATTGGGAAAACGCAAATCTTGCTAGGGGTACCCCTGTAAACAATTCAAAAAATTTCAAAACGGTATTTAGGCAATGTTTTAAATAAGGAAAGTTGCTTCTGGGTTTGCTGATTACAAAATGGTACTTTGTTTCCTGATCGGATACAAATTGACAAAGCCATGACCATCGGAAGGAGCAAAAGTGGGAAAATTGGGAAAACGCAAATCTTGCTAGGGGTACCCCTGTAAACAATTCAAAAAATTTCAAAACGGTATTTAGGCAATGTTTTAAATAAGGAAAGTTGCTTCTGGGTTTGCTGATTACAAAATGGTACTTTATTTCCTGATCGGATACAAATTGTCAAAGCCATGGCCATCGGAAGGAGCAAAAGTGGGGAAATTGGGAAAACTGAAAATTTTGTAGGGGTACCCCTGTAAAAAATTCGAAAAATTTTAAAACGGTATTTAGGCAATGTTTTGAATGAGGAAAGTTTCTTCTGGGTTTGCTGATTACAAAATGGTACTTTATTTCCTGATCGGATACAAATTGTCAAAGCTTTGGCCATCGGAAGGAGCAAAAGTGGGAAAATTGGGAAAACGCAAATCTTGCTAGGGGTACCCCTGTAAAAAATTCGAAAAATTTCAAAACGGTATTTAGGCAATGTTTTGAATGAGGAAAGTTTCTTCTGGGTTTGCTGATTACAAATTGGTACTTTATTTCCTGATCGGATACAAATTGTCAAAGCTTTGGCCATCGGAAGGAGCAAAAGTGGGAAAATTTGGAAAATCCAAAATTTGCTAGGGGTACCCCTGGAATCCGATCCGAAATTTGAATCCAATAAATTTTAAATTTTCACAATATTTGGGCCAAGTTGGTAGTCCGGCACATGTTTACAGCTGTTTATGTTTATAAGCGAGTTGGCAGTCTTCAGGCGCATGGTTTACGTAAAAGCCGCTTAGTTTTTAGTTTCTTCTATAAAAAATAGATTTTCTTGCATAAACTAAGTTGAGCGACCATGGCGACTGCCTTGACTCGATACTGGGCACAGGGATCCCTCCAAAAGCAGGTGGTACAGACCGGCGTTCGCGGCTTTTCTAGTCAACAGAAGCCCGAAATCGAGGAAGAAGAAGGTAAACAAAAAAGGCCTTAAAATCAAGGAAATAAATTCATAAAAATACTACAACAAACTTCCAGAGTTCCGAGTGCTGAGCTTGAGGACAGTGAAGCAGCAGTTCCAAAAACGGCGTGAAGTAAAAAAGGATCCTGTGATGCCCCCTCGCTCTAACCGCATGGCCGTGGATCAGGATTGGACGGCAGCTTGGCCCGGACCTCGGTCCTTCCACCCGGCTAGTGTTCCACTGCCGTTGCGACAAGGATTCACAGAGCGCGGAGCAGCTGCCCCCTCGAAGTTCGCCAACGCGGAGCTGATGAAGATTCCCAACTTCCTACATTTAACCCCGCCGGCTATCAGGCAGCAGTGCGAAGCCATCAAGAAGTTCTGTACCCCTTGGCCAAAAGGCTTGGAGAGTGAGGCAAAGTGGCAGCGTCATTTCCCAGTAGAGGTGACTACCACCGACTACCTGCAAGCTCTGCCAACAATCAGAAACATGGATGCCCGGAGGGTAACCGTTTCTCTAAAGCTCTCCGATCTTAAGTTCGATGCTCATGCCAGGGACAAGTTCCTCCGACTTGTTGGAGATCGCTACGATAAGACTACGGACATCCTCACCTTCGTCACGGATCGTTGTCCTTTGAGGAAGCAGAACTATGACTACGCCCTCTACTTGCTAACAGCCTGCTATCATGAATCTTTTGTGACCGAGCCGTGGGAAGCTACCAAGTCTGAGGCTGACATGGAGGTGTATCTTTTCGGCCGTAACAAATCCAAGCTCTCCGCTGAGGAGATCCTGAACTGGAATGCTGCAGAAGGAGCGCCGAAGGTAGAAGCTAGTCCCAGTTACGGGCAGAGTGTGGAGCAGTTGATCAACGAGGGCGAGAACGAATACAACCTGACCAAATACAAGGAGGAAGTCAAGAAAATGTTGAACATTGCCAGCCAGTGAAGTAAAATGTGAAGTTGAATTGTGGAAAACAATAAAGTTGGATGTTGTTATTAGGTAATGTTTTTACTTAGCGTTGTACTTGGGCATTCTTGGCACTTTAAAGATACAAATGGAGTATTAGGGATAATAGTTAATGGAATACATAAAAAGATACATTTGTCTACAAATAATTTAAAACAATATCCCCTCCATTAATGTTACTATGCCTCTTTTGTGGAAAGATATAAACGAGCGTCGACGGCCTGCAATTAAAAAGATAAGATTATTCCTGCGAATCATAAAAAATTATATAACTTACTGTCTTAAACCAGGCCGATGGCAAGAATATGAGTTTGGACAGGAACCCCATTTGGGAGCGCGGGGCAATGGCATGCATGTGAAGATGGTTTACCGTTATAAAAGGTGGCAGATGGAAACCGAGCAGGGCGTCATCCGTGGTTACCCCCTTTTCGCTGAGGAACTGCTTCAAGCCCTCCTCCATTCTTGTAACTTTGTTAAGAACATAATTAGCTAAAATATGCAAATTATTAAGTGCATTCTCACCTAGATCCTCGTGAGATTTATTCAGGGTCTTGAGGCTATTATGGTGCTCCTTGGTGACGGCCAGATAATGATGCTGGGAAGCAGGCTTTATATCCTTGAATATCACAAACTCATCGTTTTCCATTTCCAGGACAGTGTTGACATCCTGGCCACTGGTGATTTTGCAAAATATGCAATTATCCACGGACATACTGACTTGATTTATTTACTTTTAGTTTTTAGTTAGTTGTACTTTGACTTGGTGATGACACAAAATAGTCTGTCTGTTACTAACGATACTTTTTGTAATTGGGCGGGAAAATTTGAATTTTTGAAATAAATAAATTGTAAGAAATAAATGATATTTCTTTGTTAGTAATAAGATTTTAAAATGTAATTGGATCTATTTCAAAATTATATTAATTATTTCATTCAATAAAGTTAAAATTCTTAATTTTGACAAGCTTTTTATCTTCGATTAAAATCGATTAACACAATGGAAGCGACACAAATTTCAAATAGCTCTTAAAAACTTAAATCATTTTGACAATGCTTACATAAATAAATGTTAAATATATTATTTAAACCGGGATAAAGATCCCCCCAATCGACGCCCATATTTTTCATACTTTTCCAACACTCCTCCCAAGCAGCTGCTTTGCGGCAGGTTAGAATTTTGAGAAGAACCAATCAAAAATATAGAAACAGCAGAATTCGCGGACGTGGAAGACCGACTTTTGTTTTGTTATGCTAATTAGTGTTTTTACTAGTTTATTGAACCTTAATCGGATGGAGTCTGGAGCAGAAGCCAACAAATCACAGCGAAACTGACAGGTGAGAATTGGAGCCACAAAGTTCTGATAAGAATTCCTCTGATGACGTTTCACCTGTGATTAATATTCTCTAATTTTTAATTACCGAGCTAACTATCCCATATAATAGCACAAAATGTTTTTTTTTGGGCAAAAAGTGATAAGGTTTGAAATATATGCCGGAAGTTCTTTAAGTGCTGCTGTACAATATTTCGTTTTTATCAAAAGTTTCTTATCTTTCGGTTTGCGTTTCTTGTTGTTTTTCTTCCATTAGTTGGATATATAATATATGTGATTTACGTTATATATGTATGGGTATTTACTATCATACATATGTGCGCGCGTTTCCATGACTTTTTTCATTTCTCGCTTTCGTGTATTTGCAGTGGTACCCACGTCGGCAGATACAGATACTTCTTGGTCGGAGATACACCTGAGCTAACACTCCAGCAGCAGCGCTTGGAACCCACAGAGGCCCGAACACGTAGCAGTGGCGTCACCAGAATGCGGCGGCCCAACCTCAAGTGGATCGTCAAGACAGGGCTCCTGGTCCTAGTCTCCCTCACTTTGTTCGTGCTCATCACCAGCTGGATATCCTCCACTCCGTACACCAACAAACCCGTCCACCACGGCGTTGAACCGCTTCCACAGCAAGAAGGTCGTTCTGGCAATGTGCCGGAAAAGCATGATGACGTGAACCAGAAAAAGAATCATAATCCAGTAGAGCCAGATGCAGATGTCGAGAAAAAGAACGACGACGAACCCGAAGAGGAAGCGGAAGGTGAAGCGAAAGATCCTGCAGAAAAAGAGAACAGAGTGCCGCTGGAGGATGTGCTGCAGGTGGTTCCGCCGGCAGATATGGTAAAGAAGGATTGGCACGACTATACGGCCATGGAACGAGATGCTAAGCGAGTGGGTCTCGGCGAACAGGGCGCGGCCGCCAGTTTGGACGATGAATCCCAGATAGAAACTGAGAAGCGAATGTCCCTGGAGAACGGATTCAATGCCCTGCTCTCCGACTCCATTTCAGTGAATCGCTCCCTGAATGATATCCGCCATAAACTGTGAGTTTTTCAATTTAAAGAAAGTTCTTGAAAGAAGAAATAACCTTTAACTATTCTAGGTGTCGCAAGAAGGAGTACTTGACCCAACTGCCCACCGTATCGGTGATCATTATATTCTGGAACGAGTACCTCAGCGTGCTTATGCGATCCGTACATAGTCTGATTAATCGGTCACCCCCTGAGCTGCTCAAAGAGATCATTTTGGTGGATGACTTCAGTGATCGCGAATACTTGCACCACGATTTGGAGGCCTACATAGCCGATCATTTCAAGATTGTGCGCGTGGTTCGGCTGCCGAAACGCACAGGCTTAATTGGAGCTCGATCCGAGGGCGCTAGGAATGCCACAGCCGAAGTCCTGATCTTCCTGGACTCCCACGTAGAGGCCAACTATAACTGGCTACCGCCACTCTTGGAACCCATTGCCCTCAACAAACGCACGGCAGTGTGTCCCTTCATCGATGTTATCGATCACAGTAACTTCCAGTACCGCGCCCAGGACGAGGGTGCACGCGGGGCCTTTGACTGGGAGTTCTACTACAAGAGGTTGCGACTGCTGCCGGAGGATTTGAAGCATCCGGCGGATCCGTTCAAGAGTCCTGTTATGGCGGGCGGCCTGTTTGCCATTTCGACGGAGTTCTTCTGGGAGCTGGGCGGCTATGATGAAGGGCTGGATATCTGGGGCGGAGAGCAGTATGAGTTGAGCTTCAAGATCTGGATGTGCGGTGGTCAGATGTACGATGCACCCTGCTCTCGCATAGGACACATATACCGGGGACCCCGCAACCACAATCCCAGTCCGCGAAAGGGCGACTATCTGCATCGGGTGAGTTGAATTTGCATATTTTTAAAGCTTATTACTTATAAAATTAGTATTCCTTGAGGTGTTTGTATTTTAAAGAAGTTACAGATAACTAAGTGGTTTTTTCTATTTTATTGTATTTTACTGATGAATACCAACCTGATTACAAGGAATGATTATCCATCGAAATAGAACCGGTTCTAGACATTCGTTTACTTCCAATTAAAAGATAAACTTCTTATCTTTTGCTTCTTTTGACAAAAAGTTACCTTAAGTTTATTTTTATTACAAAATGGGTGAAAAAACCCTTGTTCTTGGCAAAACCTGATTGGAAGATAGTTGAGATAGGGAACCTGTTTTTATTGCCAATCAGAAATGGGGTCATTTGGGAACATCAATTATCTATCTTCGTGCTAATTTTCACACCTGCCTTTTATGGAACTTTATTTTAATCTAACAAATTTTTTTCGCCCAGAACTACAAACGTGTGGCCGAGGTCTGGATGGATGAGTACAAAAACTACTTGTACAGTCACGGCGATGGTATCTATGAACGTGTGGATGCCGGCGATCTGACAGCCCAGAAAGCCATCCGCACGAAGCTCAAGTGCAAGTCCTTTAGGTGGTTCATGGAGGAGGTGGCATTCGATTTGATGAAGAACTACCCACCGGTGGATCCGCCCAACTACGCCATGGGCGCCATTCAGAGTCTGGGCAATCCACAGCTATGCCTGGACACGATGGGTCGCAAGAAGCACAACCGAATGGGCATGTTCGCCTGCGCCGACGACCTGAAGGTGCCGCAGAAGTCACAGTTCTGGGAGCTCAGCTGGAAGCGTGATCTGCGGCTGCGACGGAAGAAGGAGTGCCTGGACGTACAGATCTGGGAGGCCAATGCGCCTGTCTGGCTGTGGGACTGCCATGGCCAGGGCGGCAACCAGTACTGGTATTACGACTACGAAACGAAGCAGATGAAACACGGAAACGATGGCCGGCGGTGCCTGGAGCTGCTGCCCTTCTCCCACGAGGTGGTCGTCAACAAGTGCGACCCCAGCAACCACTACATGCAGTGGAACTTTGGCACTTTCAACAAGACGGCGCTGGACCACTATACCGAGGAGCTCGTCCTGAACCTGTAGTCCGTGGTCTGCCCAGCTACGGAATCACTTGCCATGTACTTAACGAACGTTCGATGTAAATAATCTCTAGGCTAGGCTAGCTCGTAAGGCGTTTTGGCCCGATTGACACTCTCAACGACTCAACGCACATTCCAATGCCGCATTAAAGACTTTAAATTTATTTGTATCTGTAAATTATGTTGAATTTATCTACAAGATATAACAAAAAAAAAGGTTGTATGCCGATAGTCTTGGGCTTGGAGTAGAGTCCAGTCGGTATAAGCATTTTGTAATAATTAAAATAAATTTTAATACAACATTATAAAATATTATATTGTTGAGCTTCGAATCAGTCCTTTGATAGAAATCTACAAGAAAGAGGAATAAGTTTTTGTATAAAAAGAAAAAAACACATATAGCTGATTTAACTTTGTTTTCATTTTATTTAATATTAATATATGTTTGCTTTTCCATGCGCGTACTTTAAATAAATATAATTTATGATTTTCATTTTTATTTCATTAATTTTATCCAACTCTGATCATCTGATCGGTCAGCTTCACATTCTGTATATACGTTCTCGGTTTATCGTTTTACAATATGTATGTATCTTCGCTAAATCATCGTACGCCTCGGCCGATTTAATTGGTTTTCTTGTTGCTTTATCATCATATTCCAATATTTATAGTATATATATAGTATTATATATATAATATATGTATAGATAGAAGTCCCGCGAAACAGAAAAGTCGTGTGAGGTGTTTTAACTTAGAAATGGCAAAAGATTTGCATTTATTTGAAATGATAAAAAAGCATTTACAAACTATAATAGTTGTTGGCTTGCGTAATCAGTTAATCAATTATCATAATTTATATTAATATATATATATATATATCAATATATTTATATAAACATTTAAATATTTATCAAAACATGTTTTTTCTTGTTGCTCAAAAGTCTTCTTCGCTGCCTTACATTTACATTACATTACGTACATACGACCTACAATCATGTCGGCTAGTGTCCTTTCTCGACAAATTAAAAATCAATCGTTTATCGTTTTTTTTTGTTATTTTTTGTGCAAAATATATTTATATATATGTTGTGTTTTGTTTTTTTTGTTTGTTTGTTATACTAATTTGATTTGAAATTCAGTTGCGCTGCCACATTTGCATTCTAATTTTAAGTTTATTCTTTTGTCCTTCTATCCTTTTATCATTTTTTGCTTGCTTTTTAGTTTTTATTTTTTATCTTTTGCTTTTTGGATGGATGCAAATTATTAGTTTTGCTTTATACAACAATTACAAATGAATATAGGCAAATAGTTGTTGGTTTTTATTAGTGCTTAATACTTGATTGGTTTCGAGTCTTTTTGGGTTTTGTCCTTTGCCTTTGAAACTAAATCTTGCAAAAATAATAATAATAACTAGAATGAACCCTTTTGCCTTTGATTCGCATAAATAAATATATAACTTCTCATGTGTGTGAGTCGGTGTGTGTTTTAGGGTTTTTGGGTTTTACTTAAACTTAGTTTAAATTATGATTAATGTTTAAAAAATGTCTTGCTGCCTTACATTTCTTCTCGCCTCCCTCCCTATTATCATTTTTTGTTTTTTCTTTTTTTGGGAGCGTGTGCCGCCCTCTCAAAAAATACTCATATTAATTATCCTTTAGTTGTCCTGCACTCCCCGCACCATTTTCCATATTATCCTGCTTGGTTTTCTGTGGCTGTGAGTGATCTGATCTGAAGCTATAGGAAATCGGCATTCCTCGCAGCTTGAGTGGCGATCCCAGAAGGACCTCGCACCCAAGGAAGGAATACTTCTTCTGTCTGAAGTTTCTGCAATTCGAATTCGATTGAAACTCGTTAGGATCAAGTTTCAAAAGAAATTCAAATTGTGGGAAAAATACAAAATAAATCTTTGTAATGATTTTTGTAGTAAAAATTGCATTTTGTTACCAACTATTATCATGTTTTTTGTTATCTTGCGAAATTCTTTACGTTTTTCTAGTTTGCTCTTTTTAAAAAATGGTTTATTTGTACTTTTGGCAATGATCTTTTATTTTTAAACTTCCACTAACTTTTAATATGTTTTCGTTTTTGGTTTTTGCTTGCAAGAGAAACTCAAGCAAAAATTTCTTTAGCATTTGCTGTTGTTTATTAGTTTTTAGTAGTATTCGTTTTTGTTCTTGTTCTGTAGTATTTTTTTTTGTTTTAAAACTCATTTAACAGAAATTGTTTTTTTTTTTTGCTGGCTCTTAAAAAACTAAAGTTAATAGTTTATTTTTAAACTAGTTTAGAAACTTGTTGTTTTTGAGTGTTTTTTGTTTTCTGAGTGATGTTTGTTTCTGGGTGTGACTGTGTGTTAGTGTGTGTGGAATGGTGACAACTCTGGCCTGGCAGCGTCAACTGTACTTTTTTAAGGTTTCATCTTCAACTCCTTTTTGGGGGACATGTTTTTCTCCTCGTATGGCACACGAAATCAGATGCATTTACAAAAATAATTCTTCAGCCTCCAAGCTTGGAGGTTCTCCAGATTTGCTTTCTTAGCTTTCAGTGATTTTTCAGTCATACAACCTGGTATTGGGGTTCTAATCTCGATCGAACTTGAGGAAATACTTTTATTTTCAAAATAATCTTCTGAATGAATTCTTTTTCTTTGAAAAATTAGTTCAATTTAAATGAGTTTTTTTGATAAATTAATAAAGGAGTATTAGTGTTATTAAATATATCCCTAAATCTCTCAAATCCTTTCGAAATGAAAACTACCCACCGGGCTGATCAGGGTGTGTGGACTTAAGTTAAGAAGAATTCGACGTGGAATTCAACGATTACCAGTAATAGCCCCTTAGCCGGAGCAGATTCAGGTCGGCTGCTGCTGCGGCTGATGCTGCTGCTGCAGCTGCGGATGCGGATGCTGTTGCTGCGGGATAGGTGCTGCTCCGCCGGGCTGTCCAGGGGGAGCCTGAGGACCACTGCCAGGTGGCAGGGACTGGCCATTGCCAGCGTTGCTGTTGTTGTTCGTGGACGAGGTCGGACTGCTATTGCCCTCCGGATAGGTCCCCGTAACCACGCACGGATGCATGGGGAACAGGGTCGTCCACGACGTGGTCGTAAGTGTTGGTGCGTGGAGGGCAACCTTCTCGTTTTTTGACTGCTCACTGGATTGGGATTTCTTCGACTCTGCAGTGCTGTTGTTCTTCTTCTTTTTACTGCCGCTGGCTCCGTTTTTTAAAGCCTGACCGTTGGTCTCCTTCTTGACCACCGGCACTGGAGCATCGTCCATTAGAGCGTCCTCATCCAGCTCGTCCATATCCTCGCCAGCCGCCTTCTTGATCAGGCGCTCGCGCTCCTCTTTGGCTTTGTTGTCCAGGTCCGTGTTGATCTTCTTCACCCGCATCTTCTCCTCCCACTCGTCGATGCCGTGGCGGGATCGGTTGAGGTTCCGGTGCTGGTAGAAGATCAGGGTCATCCTTGTCGGATGGTGGCGATCAGGTCGCCTCACCGCCGTCGTGGCATGCATCTCGTGCTTAGCACACTCGATCAGCACACTGCCGTGATTGAGGGCGATAGCCACGCCTCCCATCTGGGGATCCTGGAAGGCCTCAATATTCTCATTGATCTCGGCCACCTCACCGATGGGTTCGATCTTGCTGGCATTGGTGCTGCCAGGGGATCCGGCTGGGACTGGGGTTGTGGCATTTGGCGGAGGACCTCCTGCTGCCACGGCGCCTGCTCCGGCACCTGCTCCTGCTTGGCCTCCTACTCCGGCAGTAGAGTCGTTTCCGGAGTTGGTCTCGCCCACGGGTGTGGTGGGTGCGACCACTGTTTCCACCGAACTCTGTCCATTGCTCAGGTCGGGCAGGATGGTCTGGGGCGGATCCTGTTGCTGCTGCTGCTGGTGGTGGAGAGGCGATGGTGCGGGAATCGTCGGCTTCTGCAGACCCGCGGCTCCCGGTACTGCACCATGGCTGGCTATCAGAGTGCCTGCTCCTGCTCCGGGGGTTGTGGAGCCTGAGCCATAGCCGGAGTTCGTCGTCGTTTGGTGGTGTCCGTAGACGTTCCAGTTGGGCGACGGAGGCGGCGGCGTGGGAGGTGGCGTCTGCTGTGGATACATGCCGTAGGGGGAGTACGCCTGGTGGTGGTACCCGTAATTGTAGTTCATGTTCTGGTACGCGTCGTAGGCCGAGTACGCGGAGTGGGGTGGCGGCGGCGGAGGCGGGTACATCTGATAGTTGTTTGGATACTGGGCCGTGTACTGGGCCGTGTAGTCGCTGGGCGGCGGCTTCGGCTTCACGAATCCCTCCTGCTGGTGCGGGTGCGAGTGCGGGTGATGCGGATGCGAGGCGGTCAGCGAGGGCGCCAGGTTGGCGGTCATCGGCTGCATGGCCGTCAGAGCGGTCAGCTTGCTCTCCGCCAGGTTGTGGTGGTGGTGATGGTGATTCACCAGCGTGGTGGAGTCTGGATTCTCTTCGTTCAACAGCCGGCTCTTCAAATCTACTCCGGGTGCTCCCGCCAAAGTAGGATGCTGCTGTGGCTGCCCCGTCTGCTGGTGCTGCTGCTGCTGAGGTTCCGGATTTCCTGGTGTGCCTCCCAGAGCTCCTGCGGAGGCCAGGCTCTGGTAGCTGGCAGATCCGTACCCGTTGCTGGTCTCTAGCTGCGTTGGTGTAACAGAGGGCGGCATGTTAGGTGCTCCCCCGGGTAGGGTGGTCCCTCCAACGCCCACACCTCCACCAACGCCGACTCCTGCTGCTCCTGGCAGCGCAGTGGCTGTCGGCACTCCTCCCAATTGCGTCTGGGCCGTTGGCGTGGTTGGCGTCAAGGGCGCGACTCCTGCTCCCACGCCGGCTCCTGGTCCGGCTCCACCCACCTGTGCCTGCGTCGCCATGCCCATGGGGGCGTGGGGCGTCGGCCAGTTGCCGTAGTAGTTCCTGGAATCTATGTAGGAGCCCGTCTGGTAGTCGTACGAGTACGGCGAGTCCAAAACGGTGCTCGAGATCTGATTCGACTGCAGCTGGGCGTCCGTGAAGGTGTCTATCATGGTGGCCATGTTCATCAGGCTCGAGTTGGAGCTCATCAGCTGGCCGGGCTGCTGGTTCGGATTGCCGTTCTGGGCGGGATTGCCTGGGGGGTTGCCTGCGCCATGGACCGGGGGCGTGCTAAAGGCACTGCCCGCCGGACTTGGGTTGTTCGTAACCGGAGTCTGGCATCGCGGCGAGGGAGTGGACGGTGGCGCTGATCCGGGTGTGGAAGCACTCGAGTTGTTCGACTGATTCGACTTTCCCTTCGCCTTGGATTTTCCATTGGCAGCCACAGTTCCAACTCCGCCGTTCTCCTTCTTGATGCTATGGACTCCCGCTCCCGGTCCTGCTCCAGCTCCCATCGCAGGTGGACTCGATTGATTACTCGCCGCTTGCGTCTGCGACTGGGCTCCATTGCTGGAGCTGCTCTGGCTGTTGGCATCCCCTGCGGCGTCCTGGTCGCCGTCCGGAGGCGCTGAATCGTCGCCATCCTTCCGCTTCTTGCCGTGCCTCCGGCAGGGTATCAGCGGCGTGGAACGAACGCGTACTTCGCAGGGAAATCTATAGAGGATTAGAGGGAGAAAACGTGGACGGATTAGTATCAGAGCCAGGTGTGGGATTGCCCCGGGGAGCCAGCTGCTCAAAACTCAACGGTACACTCACTTGTCCAGCATTTGCACCGCCCCGGTGCGGTGCTTGTCCCTCTGCCCCTCGACGCTCTCGAACTCGTCCGTGCCATCCATCGTGTAGAGCGGCAGGACGTGGAACTGCTCGTCGTCCGGCAGGCGGGTGTCACGGTTGCCGGGCTTGAGAAGGGCCACGTGTACCGTGCATCCGTCTTGCATGTTGTGCAGATCCCGGTGCGAGTGGGCGCAGAAATCCAGGCAGGCGGTAACGCCCGAGAAGGGCTTGCCCGGCTCCAGGCCCAGGCGGCAGTCGGAAGCCTCCTGCTCGTACTTGGTCTGGTTGTCGTAGGATCGCGGGCACACCTGCTTGAATACCGGCGCCAGCAGCGTGGCGATCAGGTTCATGTGGTCCTCGATGGCCGCCTCCTCGCTCTTCACCGACAGACGGAACTTGCGCACCGTCTTGGAGCGGGCGTACTTGCAGCCATTGTAGTACATGGACCAGGAGCAGCCGAAGCTGTAAGAAGCGCCAGAAGTCTCAGGATCAAGTCCTAAAATTGGAAAAAGTTTATATAAATATTTCAAAAAGAGGACTTCTTAGGAAACCCACCTTGACAGGCACAAGTGCGGTTCTCGTTGGTAGCACATCTTCGGGTGGTGGGCAGGCCGTACTTGTTCAGCTTGGGGATCAGATTCTTATAGGCGTTGTCCGCCTCCAGACGTGGCATTCCGTCCCAGGCCACCATGCACACCACAATATAAGCGGCAATGCATCTAGAGATGGAAAATATTAGTCAAGAACTTAAGCAGTTTTAAGAAAAGAAACCCACCTGTGTCCTGGTCGCTTCTTCACAACCACCAGAATCTTCTCCTCCATGTCCGCTCGCCGGATCACCCACTTGGCCACAGGACAACCCTGCGTGGTCTTGCCCTCCTTGCCCGTGTAGACGATCTTCTCGATGCGGAGCTGCCGACCCGTCAAATTGCATTGCTCCTCGAACTCTCGCCGGAGTTCCATTAGGGATGAAGCAGTGCCTTTAGGGATTACAAGTCTTTAGTTATAGTTCCTCGATAGATCATCAAAATACTCACCCAAATGCGTGTAGTAAGTGCCCGGTTCCGGGGGATTCTTGTCGGACTGGAAGCACTCGCACTCTGGTATCTCCGTCTTGTTGCCCTTTTCCAATCGATCCGTTGTGTCGAACATGGGATTAATCTTCTCGTGCTTCACCACAATCTCAGGGATCTCGTCCGGTTTTTGTTTGCCCTTCGCCTTGCCGGCGGCTCCTCCGACCGGCTTCAGGCCGTTTCCGTGGCTGTCGATGAGCTCGTCCTCGTCGAGCAGCTCCTCCTTCGGCTGGAGACCCAGACCGAGGCAGGTGCCGTCCTTGAGGTGCTCTGCCGTTGGTGGTCGGGTGCCGCCCTGTCGGCAGCAGGAGAATCCGTTGTTCAGGCCCTTGCTTTCGCCGGCACCGCCCAAATAGGTGTATCCTCCGCCGTGACCGAGCATTCCCATATCCTCCAGCTTGGGCTCCAGCATTCCGTGGTGTCCCAGGTGCGGAGGTGGCACTGGTGGCGGTGCGCCGTGCCCAATGGCGTAGCGGTGTGGCGGGATAGGATAGGCATGTGCCGGAATATCCTTCTCGTAGTTCGTGGGCAGGGGTATGATGCTGTTGGTGTCCGGCTTCCGGTCCAGCTCCAGCATACTCTGCCCGTGGCCGTGGAGCTGGTGGCTGGGCTGGTGGTTGCCCGGCCCCGTGACCTTCGCCCGGCTGCCATACGTGGAGTGCTGGTAGCCAGGAACGAAGTTCTGCTGGAAGTTCTGTTGGAAGCTGCTGGCTCCGGCTCCATAGTAGGCTGAGTTGTGATGGTATCCGGCGTAGTCCTGCTGCGAGTGGCCGTGGTGCTGCTGCACCGGCTGTCCCTGTCCGTCGTTCTGGCAGAAGTCCGCATACTGGATGAAGTTCTGGTAGTTTCGCTCGTAGCCCTCCATTTTGTTGGGCTGCGGCGGCCCCAGCAGGCCCGGCTCGGTCTTGATGTACTGACCGTGGTACTCCTGGCCGGGATGTACCGGCGGCGGATGCGGCGGGTAGTGGGTGCTGAGCGGGGGCTTTAAACCACCGCCTCCCGGATCCGTGGAGTTACGCGGATCCTCGGCCGCTGCCTCGGCTGCAGCCGCTGCTGCTGCTGCCGCCGCGCGACTGGCCTTGCTGCGACTCCGCGACTTCTTAGCGGGCTGAGCCACTGCGGGTGATGGTGGTACCACTGGAGTCTGCGGCTGAACCACTGGCGGGGCTGCTTGGGGCACCAACGGCGTGGGGTCGCCGTGGCTGATGGTCGTGTGCTGTCCTGGCTGGTGTTGTTGCAGCTGCAATTGCAGCTGCGCATCCGATCCCGGATAGCCGCCACCCACGACGCTCACTGGCGGCTTCTTAAAACTCTGCGTCGAGTGGTGTGGCTTCCAGATGTGATCTACGCCACCACCTCCGATCGGCTCGGCAGCAGCCGACGCCTGCTGCTGTTGTTGTTGCTGCTGCACCTGTTGCACTTGTTGCACCTGCTGCTGCGGCACTTGCTGTTGCTGCTGTTGTTGCTGCTGCTGTTGCTGCTGCATTGGGTGGGTGGGCGTGGCGCTGCTCGGTCCGTTGGCGCTCAGCGCCGTATCGGGCCGGAGATGGTGGCTATACGATAAAAAATGACCGGTCTGCTGCTGCTGTTGCTGCTGCTGCACCGGCGACTGTTGTTGCTGCAACTGTTGCTGCTGCAGATCAGGCGGCGGATCCTTGGGATCGCTCTTGCGCATGATCATGGACTTGATGCGAGTGTTGAGGTTTAGTCTCTCCCCCTGGGCGTATCCATCCCCTCCCAGCGGCTGTGGTTGCTGCTGTTGTTGCTGCCAGTTCCATTCCTGCATGGGTGGCGAGGCAAGGTGTTGTTGCTGCGGTGCCACATACGGTTGCAGGCCATTTCCCGTCGGTGACTGACTCACCAGCCGGGGCTGATGCTGCTGCTGCTGTTGCTGTTGCTGCTGCTGCAACATGGTGACGCGCGTCGGCGATTGGGGAATGGGAGGATGCATGGGCGATGAGGCGGGCTGGGCCACCACTGTGGCTGGCACGGCGGGGGCTGGGGTGGTGGTGCCTCCGCTGAGGGCCGAGGGTTGTTGTTGGGAGCTGTTGCTGCTGCTGTTGTTGTTGCTGCTGCTGTTACTGTTGCTACTGGTGTTGTTGTTGTTAGTGGCTGATGTTGAACCGCTGTAGTCGCCTGAATACCCGTTACAGTTGAGTGAGCGCGGCGGCACGCTGCTCACCCGCGGATATCCAGGCGTGTCGTTTCCCGACATCGTCTTGTTCAGATCCGCTCCCAGATGCTGCTGCTGTTGTTGCTGCTGCTGTTGCACCTGTTGCTGCTGCTGCGAAGGCGGCACTGGAGACGCCGTCACCTGTCCGGCATAGCTGGGCGCGAACCCGGCCACACTCTGCAGACCCACCTGGTTGATGGCCGAGGGGGCGCTGGACAGTTGCTGCCGCTGGAAGTCGTAGCTCTGGACCGGTGCTCCGTACGGGGATCGGCCGTAGTTCGGATCGAATCCTAGTCCCGTCTGGACGTAGCCGTTGGAGGGATACGCGTACGACTGGGTCTGGAAGTCCAGCGAGTTGAGCGATGTGATGGCCGGCGTGTTCTGTGGTATCTGCTGGATGAACTGGTTCTGCCAGCCCTGCGAGGGATCTGCCTGCCATGTGGGATAGAAGGCCATGGGTGCCTGAAAGGATATCAAAAAAGGGATAACGAAAATTAACACTCGGTCTAGACTTCCTTCAGTCCCTTATCCTTAATTACACACTGCGGTGAAAAGAGACTTGGTCCGAGAACATAAATAATGGTCCTAAGCTGCCTGAATCGGGCCTCATAAATCATATTTTGCGTGTCCTAATTAGGCTCAGTATAATTGGTGTAAGCCTCCCCCAAATGCCGGCAACTGAGTTACAACTTCCGCGGTGGAGGAAACAAAAAATCCTGCCTGTTAATTAACGCGCCTCAAATTATGCTACATTCTTGTTTTGTTGCGGTGGCTGAATAAACAGGAAAAGCCCCCCCCCCAAAAACAAAGCCAAAAAACAAACCCAGACTGCCAGTCGCAACCCGTTTTCCATTTGCATTTTTACGAGCGGCGGTTGAAAAAAAGTTATGAAAGTGAAAGTAGTGGGAGGTGGCAAGAGGCAACCAGGGGGAGGGGCAGGGATATTGCCACAATAAAATGCAAAAATTAAAACACAAACAATTTTTAATAGGCAAGTTCAACTGGCAGGCAGCTGCTGCTCTCTGGCTTCCTGTTTTTGTTCTTTTTTTTTTACCCAGCAGTTGTATCTGTATCTGTATATCTGTGTATCTGAAAAATTCATCTGAAATTTATCTGCACCTGGCTTGCTCGAGTTTGCATGGATGTGTGTTTGTATGTCCCTGGTTTTATTTTGAAAGCATTTAGCAATCATTGATAAAAATCGACCAAATCTTTATGAATGAATGGGGCAGAAATACAGTATGAATGTATGTACATATATTTTTGTATCTGACTCTTGTGTATGCACAGCTGCAGTTGATGGGGCCTGCGGGTGACGTGACGTATACGCAATATGTGGCCACACAGACGCACACATCCGAGCCGGATTTATGGGTTTTGTGTTGTGTTTTTGTGTGTATTTTGTATTTTGTATTTCGTAGTTTGCATTTTGCATTCTGTTCGGTTGCCTTGAAACGGAAAGCGAAATAAAATCAAAGTGATTGAACAGCGGAGGGTGGGTAGGGGCAAAAATCCGTCATCAAGGTCAATGGCTTTTAATTGGAAAATTGAAATCGAAACGCTATTGACACCAATCGATACGCTTTTATTGAGTTATTTCAGCAAAACTAGAATCTACCCTGCAGTACAAAATATTACGTATACGCAGTGTAGCCGCAACTTATAATGATTTTATTGTATTAATTGGAAATTATCAAATTTCAACCACTAATTGAAACCTTACCATGGGCTGTTGCGGTTGATCCTTCATGGTTTGAATTTGTGCGGTTATCTGATGCTGCTGCTGTGGCAGATGTTGCTGCTGCTGCTGCTGTGCGTGTTGTTGCTGCTGCAAAAGCGGCTGCTGCTGCTGCTGTTGCTGGAAGTGATGCTGCTGATGCTGCTGTGGCTGCTGGTACTGCTGCTGCTGTTGTTGTTGTTGCTGCGACAAGAGCTGCTGCTGCGACAGTAGTTGCTGATGCTGCTGATATTGCTGCTGCTGCTGCTGATGTTGCAGGTTGCCCCCGGCGGCGGCAACTGTTGCTGTGGTATTTGGCGATTGCTGCGGCAACAGTGTTGCTGCCGGTGCTGGACTTAGACGAGGCGATGTTGCTGATGCAGCGGCTGCATTCAGTTTGTTTGCTTTGGTGGAGTTTTTGCGGGCGCGTGACTGCTGGAAATAAGCCATAAAAAAAAGAAGGCTAAGAGTTAGTTACGGCTATTGACAAAACAAACTGCAAACTGCTGATAAAGTTGATAATCTGCATAAATTGTGTGAGCGGGATGCGCTCTAATTTATATGCAATTCCCCAGCAACTATTCCTAATTGCTTGGCTTAAAATATTTATTTTTTAATTAAGAAAATTTGCTGGTGGCACAAATATTTTAATTGCCTTCCCCCCTCGACTGCCCTCGCAAATCGCATAAATTATGCCACTGCCGGCTTCGCTCACATAATTTCAACTTGTTTTCTGTTTTCAGTTTTCAGTCTGCACGCCGGCAACATGTAAAATTTATGTTGCCCACGATTTATGCGCAATTTATTTGTGCAGCCAAATACAAAAAACAAAAACAAAAACTACAAAAACCGAGAAGGAGGAGGAAAAATTGTTGTTGCAACAAATTCATTGGAGCAACAGCTGCGGTTGTCGTTGCGGCTGCTTGCTCTGAAATATGTTGCACTCGCCATTAAAGGCTTTCAAAATTTATGTTCGTAAAAGAGTCTCTTATTTTTTGTATTTCTTCTGGCCAAAAGGGAAGACCCGTACGCTCTAATGGAAAATGTAAAAATAGTTTTCCTCTCTGCCCTGGGCAGGTCAATCGATAATGTCAGGTCAGATATTTTTGCATAATGCCACAAAAAGTTGTGCCTTGTATGCAAAAACATCGAAGGCATGGAAGCCTTTGAAAAATCCTGAAAAATGAGGTTGCCTTGAAACTAAAATAAATTTCTTTTGATTGGATTTTGAAAAGGAGAATTGCTTCTATCAGTGGCTTTTAAAGCAATAAACAATTCGTTTACGAAACAATTAAAATGCTGGCAAGGCAAATACACATTTTTATTGTCCAGTTTTGACGAGAAAAGAGAAGATTTAAATAAACATTGTGTTTGTCCTGAAATTCTTGCCATAAATCAACAATTTCTTGGGTAGGAAATGCAAACAAATATTTGTGGAAATATTTCTGAAAATATTTCTGCTAATTGCAAAAGGCACAAATCAAAAATGGTCCAAACGGGCTTAGAGTTCTGGCCAGACAATAAACACAAATTTGCATACAGAGTCGAGAGCAAATCGTTTGTGCAAATTGGCTGCAATAAAGTGATTTATATATTTTACACCAATGTGTGTGCCTGTGAAATAATATTTGCCACCTTAGGAACTGGAATCTATACTATATGTGTGTGTGTAGATATGTGGGGATGTGTCGCCTTGCCAGCATAATGCTATGCAAATAAAATCCAACAATGCGAACTGGCAAATTCGAATTTCTCCCACCTTATCTCTGGAATACCAGGTGGCAACAAAGCAGCCAAATAACTTGAACAAACATTCAGTAAGAGAGGTGGGGGTGTTGCTGCCACTGCCACAACCACTGCTGCTGTTGCTGCTACTGCTGCCTTTGCTGCCTTTTTCCTCTTTGCTTTCTAAAAATATTTGCATTGCAAACACACTGACTGAGAGGAGGTCTGAAACGCAGGTGCAAAATTAAAATAAATTTGCACGCAATTTCCAATTGAAAATTGCCAATTATTTTTGCTTACATTTGCTTTTTTTCTCTCTCATTTTTTTTTTTTGGCAAACAATCGCAAATGTAAATATACCCCAAAAATATGTATATATTTGCATCCAAGAAGTATTAATTAAAGTTTCGCAAACATTGGCCAACACATTTGCTTAGACATCGACAAACAAACAAACAAGACAAGAGACAAATACACAAACAAACAGAAAAAAAAAACAAATGAAAAATCGTAAAGAAAGCAAATAAAAATTATTTCAAAGCTCGAGGACCCGACTCCGAGACCGAGCAAATGTTTTTCTAGTTTCTGCGCTGTGTTTAATGCATTTTCCCACTATTTACCCAGTTCATAAAAGTTAATTAAATTTTTATGATCGTTCACTATTTGTTTCTTGGTAAAATAAATAAAAACGCCCAAGGAAAAAAAAGATGGCAGATAAACCTGAGTTCTGCGCTGCGCTGCGTGTGTGTGTGTGTATCTGTGAGATAGTAAGAGATTAGTGAACTGCAGTTGAAAGAAAAACACAAACAACATCAGCGGGTAATGGCCCTGAGCATTCTGCGCCGCCCTCTCCTCGCCACCATTTCTCCCAGTGTTGGAAAAGAAAATTGCGCGCAAAGTAAACAGCAATTAGTTGTGTCTCTGTGTGCGTTTATCTAGCCATGTGTGCGTTACATCGCCTTGATAAGCAGCAGAAGTGAAATAAGGTTACGCAAAGGTAGGTAGAGGAGAAAAATCTTCAACTTCATATATAAGGATTAATAATACGAACTCGTAATGCCATAAATATTTATTAAGCCATATACTTTTTATTGATCTAGTTTTAGAGGTCTAAAAAAAATATATATGCTAATTGCCCCATAGACCTCTATTGTTGCCAGGCATAACTAACATGTGTATGTATACCCGTCCCACTTTCACGCTGATAAGAGCCATATAACACCTCCCCTATCTACTCGGTCGCCCTCTCTCTTTCTTTGTTTTTATAGTGTGCTCATAAATTACACACATAACAAAGTATACAATATAAATTATTTACATGTCCCCAAAGTCAAAGTCTGCTGATAACGCGGGACGTACAGGGGAACGAAGAAAAAACAAATCAACAAAACAATAACAACAACAAAAACAGCCAAGGAAAAGACAACAAAGGTATAAAAAAAAAACAAATGCAGCGGTTAAATTGTAAATAAATCAAATATTAGTTATCGTTTATTTCTTTACTCCAGTCGCGGTCCTATTTGTTTAAAATGTTATCAGCATTCTATTTATCTATTGTCGTGTCGGTTTTAAATTGGAAAACCTGGGGGAAAGATTGATTGGAATTCTGGGCTTAATTTTAAGAAGCTTTTTTCGAGAAATAATGGATAGCAATTAAACGAAATCGTTATGGAGCACATTGTGCTTATGCGGCAGAATATTTCATTTTGTACAAGCCATTTTGCTTTAATGGCAAATGCAATTTCTATGATTGCATCCCAGACATCCTTTCGCTTGCATTTCCCGTTGGTCCTCGTTGCCGTTAGCCCTCTCCCCAAGTTCTTCCAGGCGAAAGCTCCTAATGTTCCTATTCTTATGGTCGGTCTTTAGCTCGGTCCTGCTCGCTCGCATATCGCTACCCGCTTGAAACACCTTTGGGCTGCTCAAATATTTAACTTGTATTTCGTATTCATGCTAATTTTGCATTTTCCACAATTTTACCACCACTCGTCCTGGTCGCCCCCAGCTCGTAGAATGCTTTTCCTTTATTTCCCAGTCCCTCGACCATATCCTGCTTTATTCCATTCCATTATCCTGCAGCAGTTTGCGAAGGCTACTGGTGTAGTGAAAGAAATTTGGGATGATTATGATTAAGACTTAGAGTTTTCAAGACTCTTAATTGTTAATTTAGTATTTAATATTTAATTATTACATATTCAAAAGAAAGTTATTTTTATGCCACTAGTTTGATATGTAATTTTCTTACAGTGTCCTTGTGGCTCTTGAATTCCTTGCCACTGTCTGGACTATCTCCTCTCACAAAAACACTCACACTCACATTCACCCAAACACCCCCCTCACAAATAACGGCAGCTGCATGTGAGCCTGCATTTGTATGCGAACGTCTGTAATTGTACGTGTCGAGTGTGCGCCGTTGAGCAGGCTACACTTTTTTTCTCTCTTTTTCTGCCTTGTTAGCATGTGTCGAGAGGGCGCGGGCGTGTGTGTCTGCCTCCCCCTACCATGCTGTGTGCGTGTGTGAGTGTGTTTTATTCAATTTAGCTTTCAATTAGGCTGCAATTGTTCGTCCGTTGCTCGGCCAGTTGCATTCTTAAACAGTCTAACTAAAATCCCAATAATCCAAGCCTGACATTTGCCCCCAAGAAATTCCCGGACTAATTCAATTTACGCCTCCTGCGACCGTCGCTTGAATTATTAAATTGTCCGTCCCGTCCGACTGTATTCGATTGGATTGGATGGCTTTTCATCAAGCTTTCATCATCATTGATTGTGTTGTTCATCCAGAGGTTCATCCACTTCCTCTCTCACATCATTATTTTGATTGAATATTTGCGATAAATTAAATTGCAAAAGGGCGGAGGCAATGGATTATAATGCATTTCTGGCGGCTGGTAATCAATAGAGCAAATATTGGCAAATCATACACGAAAAAGGAGCAGTAGACTTTACATTCCCCAATCCATACGTACATTCATTTATTATTAAAAAGAATTATTATGGAACTCTTTTCAAAAAGTGCCATTAATTCTTTTGGAATTCAATGATAGACCACAGAGTCACTTTGGAAAGGGATAGAAATGCTTATATTGTATAATGCATTTCGCTTCGTGCCACCCCCGCTTTTATTTTTATTTATTTTTTTTCCTGAAAAGCAGTTGAAAACTTGTTTGAGATGCTTCGCCCCCTCTCGCTTGCTCCATCCCTGTATCTGTCCCTGTCTGGTGTGTTCATTTTTTGTTCATTCTGCAGCGTCAGCTTCGTGCTGCCTTGTTTTTGTTTTAATTATTGCCAGGCATGCCATTAATTTTGGCATGTCGAGTCGTTAACGAATTCCTTGGCAATTCTTTTTTTCCCCCTCTTTTCTTTGGGGCTTTTTTTCTCTCTTTCTTTTATTTTTGTCTTTTTTTTTGGCACGCCATGGCATGCCTCATATTGTAGTATGTTCTTCGCTCTATTGTTCTGCTTTTTGGCTTTAATTTTATGTTTTTTTGTTTATTAAGTTCTTTAATCTGTTTTTAAGCCGGCGATGCTAATTGTTGCATACATACATATTTCAAAAATATTTCCTGTCATCTCGCAAATAAATAATTACTTATGCATGTTCACCTCTCGGAATGCATTTTCTGTTTCCAGTTCGAGAGTCGAGAGTCCTCGGCAACTTTGGCATCGTCGTGACAAAAGTTAATTACAAAGTTTGCAGCGCGGAAACT